CTGACCTAGAAAATGTACAGAGAACCTTCACGGCGCGCATAACGGAGATAAAACACCTCAATTACAGGGAGCGCTTGAGGTTCCTAAAACTGTATTCCCTGGAACGCAGGCAGGAGAATACATGATTATATACACCTGGAAAATCCTAGAGGGACTAGTACCGAACTTGCACACGAAAATCACTCACTACGAAAGCAAAAGACTTGGCAGACGATGCAACATCCCCCCAATGAAAAGCAGGGGTGTCACTAGCACGTTAAGAGACCATACAATAAGTGTCAGGGGCCCGAGACTGTTCAACTGCCTCCCAGCATACATAAGGGGGATTACCAACAGACCCCTGGCAGTCTTCAAGCTGGCACTGGACAAGCACCTAAAGTCGGTTCCTGACCAGCCGGGCTGTGGCTCGTACGTTGGTTTGCGTGCAGCCAGCAGCAACAGCCTGGTTGATCAGGCTCTGATCCACCAGGCGGCCTGGTCACAGACCGGCCGCGGGGGCGTTGACCCCCGGAACTCTCTCCAGGTAAACTGCCTCCCAGCATACATATGGGGGATTACCGATAGACCCCTGGCTGTCTTCAAGAAAGCACTGGACAGGCACCTAAAGTGAGTACCTGACCAGCCGGGCTGTGGTTCGTACGTCAATTTGCGTGCGGCCAGCAGTAACAGCCTGGTTGATCAGACCCTGATTCACCAGGGAGCGTTAATCCCTGAAACTTTCTCCAAGTATACTCCTTGTATAGTGTAACAGTGCAAAAGGAGTAACTACGCAATGAGTAATAGCAAACAAGTTGATAAGGCCAGATTGCAGTTACTCCGGTATGGAAGATCTGAGGAAATAAAAGTTGGAACGGAGTATAAATCACATATTAACCACACAATAGAGCAAAAAACTAACTTGAAGAACTTGTGAGTAATAATGTCAAAGGATCTCACCTTGAAGGATCACAACACTGCCATTATCACAGCCGCGAGGGAAATGATAGAATGAATAATGAAAAACCTTCAATACTGCTGTACGCTAACAGCACTTTAGAAGTTTTGTCAAGCACCTTAAACAGTAATACCTGGGAACGTTTGAAGTCATTTGACCTGTATTCCTTGGATGCATCTTAATTGACACCTGGAAAATCCTACAAGGGATTGGTCCTTAATCTGTATATAGAAATCACTCCCTACAAAAGCAAAATGTTCGGCAGACGATGCAAAGGTGTCATGAGTGCACTGAGACAACACAGTAAGTGTAAGGCGCCCAAAACTATTCAACTACCTTCCATCATACATAATAGGGTTTCCCAATAAACTCCATGTTGTCCTCAACAGGGAACCGGATAGGTTCCTAAAGTCAATTCCTGACCAGCCAGGCTGTGGTTCGTATGCTGGACTGAGCGCGCCCAGCAGTAACAGTCTGGCTTTAAATATTAATGGAAATAAGTCACCGACTTGTCTGGGTTATCCTAAGTAATTTACACATCTTAAACTATGCATGATAATTGTACTTATGTGTACCTGTACCTAAATAAATTTACTTGCCCTGATCCACTGGGAAGCTTGGTTATAGACCGGGCCGCAGGGGCGTTGACCTCCGGAACACACAAGTTATGGCACAGAAGTATTACGGGCTCACATGTATTATGTAGATTTAACTTAAGTTAACCCAAGTAAGACAAATAATGTGACTTCTTAAAATCAAAATAAAAAATATACCGGACTCCCAACATAAAAAAATTCCACTTACTTACTTGAAGCAGATTTGAAGTTCCACACTTCTGAAGGCAATGATAATTATATCATCTTGGTCCACAGACAAGACTTATCACAGACATTATGTCCACTATTAATTAATAAGCTTCACTGTGCAAACTGGAGCTAATTAATAAGCCCAGAGGTGGGCACGCGAGCACAGCTAAAATAAAAAACTGGATGGCCAAAAGAAACTATGGGAAGATTTGTGGAAAATACTGAAGGATTGCTTCTCGGCGGATTTTGACCATTAATTAGTCTAAATTGTACAATATTATTTGATTTTAGAAACCAGATATTATTTTGGACTAAGGTTTACTACTACTACTAGGAGGCATTAATTAACATTTCACAATACCTACTATATATGTACACCATGAAATGATTACTTCTTTGCAAAATTGTTATTTTGGGAGATATTAGCGAAACTAGTATAACTTTGGTTGCAAGACAGTGTTTACACTCAGCCATGCTGGCAACCAATATGAATATTCGTACCATTTTCACCCTCTTCTAAAATAACAATTCCTACAAGAAGTACTTACTTATTCCGTGATGTACATAGGTTGTACTGTGAACCGTAAACTACTACCCGCGTTCCGGAGATTAGTAATCGTAAGCTATAGTCAAAATTTGCGAAGAGCAACACACCCACACCGAGGGAAGGTTGGACCACCATTATGCACACGTTGTTGAACGGTTGTTCATTATTTGTAGTTTTCTGGATTTGTCTTGGATGTCTGCGGATTCTAGCCGGTCACCAACTTTGGCATGGTGTGGGCGTCTGGCTCTTGCCGGGTTTAAACGATGGTAGTCACCTTTCCTTCTAGGTTTTCTAATTAGTTAGTTCATTTAGGTACATGTACATATAAGTACAATTATTATACATAGTGCAAATTAGCTAGAATAATCCAAAAAATAGTCGGATCAAGTGACTTATTTCCACTGGAGTCTTAACTTTTTTCCATTCTTAATTATTATCATTATTATAATCATAACTAAGCGATAAACCCACAAGTGTTAATTGTACTCCACGTCTGTAATATCATTTTACTTACCTGAACACGAGACACCTCAATACAGTTATGGCTTTGTTGCCTCGTGAACACCTGAATTATCTAGGATCTTCACTCAGCAGTAAACTTTTTTTTAACTTGTGGTTAGTTCATTGTGCAATTATGCATAAAGACAAGATTATAAGCGTCACAATGGGTTAGTTAGTTAGTTTAATATGTTTATTATGCACCCCATACCCATCCTGTGGGCGGTAGTTAAAAGATTACAGAGGTACATTATTGGTCCAAAGACTGGACTCCAAAGTTTTGATAGCTGAGAAAGTTACAGAGGTAATGAACTCACAATTTACAAAGGTAATGAACTCACAATTTACAAAGGTAATGAACTCACAATTTACAAAGGTAATGAACTCCAGGTAGGTCTGGTCACAATCATGACAAGTTACAAAAGTATTTACAGATTAGAGGTACGTAATGGGTCCAGGGACTGGGCCCCCAAAGTTTTGATAGCTGAACTAGGTACAAGGGTAATGAACTCACAAGTTACAAAGGTAACGAATCCTGTAAGAATGGGTCAATCCACATTGTGATTTAAATAATTTTTTAAAGAGCTGGGTATAATTTGATTCCTTGGATGTTAACAGCAGACCCTTCATGTGTGCCTTGATGTTGGTGAACCCTTTGTGCGTACCTTGATACGCGTGAACCCTTCATGGTGTGCCCTGATACTGGTGAACTGTTCATGATAGTACCTTGGCACTGAACCCTTCATGCGATGCCTTAATATTCATTGGGTGCCTTGTTGCTGGCGAACGCTTCATCGGGTCCCTTGATGCTACTGAATCCTTCATGGGGTGCCTTGATGCTACTGAATCCTTCATGGGGTGCCTTGATGCTACTGAATCCTTCATGGGTACCTTGATGCTGGTGAGTCATTCATGGGGGTCCCTTGATGCTGGTGAGTCATTCATGGGGGTCCCTTGATGCTGGTGAGTCATTCATGGGGGTCCCTTGATGCTGGTGAGTCATTCATGGGGGTCCCTTGATGCTGGTGAACCATTCATGGGATGCCTTAATATTGATAAAATAATCTTATACTTACTTATTCTTAGGAACTGGAACTTCCTACTCTTCCTTGGATCAAAATTAATTGTCTTATGGTTCGGTTGATAGCGTCTGCAGCTGATACACTGAGGGGCCAGGAATCGCTACACCGTACAAGTGAAACGTTGGGCATATTTTCTTACACTTACTGCTCCCCCCCCCCCCGCTCACACAGCAGTAAGTAGGTACCTGGGTGTTAGTCGACTGGTGTGGGTGGCATCCTGGGGACAAGATTGAAGGGCCCCACTGGAAATAAAACAGTCCTCGATGACGCACTTACTTTCTCGACTCACGAAATCGTCATGACGCGTCGGTCTGGAGTGTTATGACTGATCGAGGGTTCTGCCTAACCCGCCCGTGGCATGGTTTACTTTCTTGGGCTATCCTGGGTGGATAACCCTCCGGGTTAAAATAAATCCTGACAAATAATAATCGTCATTGTTTACTAGAAATACATGTATAAGGTACACAGGCCTAGCTGACATCAATGACATACTACTATACAGAAAGCCGCTTGTTATGCAAAGCATTTCGGGCAAATTAGGTCAGTTTTGTCCCAGGATGCGACCCATGCCAGTCGACTAACACCTAGGTACTCATTTTACTGATGGGTGAACATAAACAACCGGTGTAAAGAAACACGTCCAATGTTTACCCTCGTTGGGAATCGAACCCGGACCCTCACCGTGTGAAGCGAAAGCTTTTGCCACCAAGCCACGGTCGCTGTATTACTCCTACAGGTTTAGCGCTTCCCATTGGAAAATGCAACAACAATAATCGAATACCGCCGTGGTTCGTATCTAGAGGAAAAATTTGAAATGTGTAAAGCACACGTACTAGAAGTAACCATCCTGCATGTTGGGTAAAAGTAAGAAGTTACTCTAATTTCTGAGGCTATTCTAGATAATTTACACTATGTATGATAATTGTAACTGTGTGTACCTGTACCTAAATAAACTTACTTATCTACTTTTAAGTTATAAAAACGGGTAACCGGACTGCGCATTTTTTCAAAATAAAAAAAAACGGTGATTTAAAAGGATGATATTTCTTCTTACTTTGCTGGAGTAAAGGTACACTTGACATATGATTGCTAAACACAAAATATATACAAGTGTAATGTTATGGATCAATTTGTGAGATAAGTAACTTGAGAATGTTGTGAGTAGGGCAGTGAACTCTGGCCATATTGACTGCCCGTACCCAACATCTCTATTCTTTTTATTTGGGTTTCAGTATAAGACTATTAAGGATATTTACTGAGGTGAAGGAAGGTACTTTCTCAAAATGAGTCTCCTGGTGCGTTATATGAGACTGCTTGGGCCCCACACTAGGCAGCAAGTGTTCAGGAACACATACAGTGTGTGTCTTGGGTCATCTCTCCCTCATAGGTGTTACAGGTCCCTCAAAGGTGTTTATGGATATAAACCTCAAGAACCGAGTCCATTCTTATGTAAGTTAATTTTTGTTATTCGTGACATTATAATTTTTACCTATGGGTCATCTCCCGGGGGGGGGGCTGCCTTGCTGCTGGTTAAGGGCTCTTGATCCAGAAAAATTGGGATAATTTCCTCTTACATGGATCAGACCTGATTAGCTCTCATTCCCCAGGTGCTGTATAGCCCCTACAGGTTGAGCGTTTCCCCATGAATATAATATACCTAGGAGCCACCTGAAGTTGCTTGTAATAACCTCTTAAAAGATTTCTCAAATTTCTCAATTGAAGACTAAACTAAGTTACTATGATTGTTGAGTTATCTTTTGTTAAATCTTCATAATATATTACTATTATATTCCTATGACAAGTACATGTACAAGATATACAGACCTAGCTGACATCAATGACATATTACTATGTACAAAACCCCTTGTTATGCAGAGCATTTTGGGCAAATTAAGTCAGTTTTGTTCCCTGGATGCAACCCACACCAGTTGACTAATACCCAGGTACCTGTTGTACTGATACATGAACATGGACAGCAGGTGTCTTCAGGAAATGTGTCCTAGTATTTCCACCGGGCATCGATCCACGGACCTCAGTGTGTGAGCTGAGTGCGCTAGCAATGAATTAGAACTATTCTCCCCACCCTGGATCAAACCGGGTTGCCTCCAATTCCCCAGGTGCTTTATGAGACCCCTACATGTTTAGTGCTTCTGCACACAATGATAATATATAGTCTTGAGTGGTATTGAATTTAGGGTGCTCATGGCTTGGATGATAGTTGTCTTCAGCTCACATTGAGGGTCCAAAGATTGCTCCCAGTATGGGTGAAATATTGGGTATGCTTCCTTACACCTGCTGCCCCTGTTCACCTAGCAGTAAGTAGGTACCTGTGTGTTAGATGACTTTTGTGGGTTGCATCCTGACGGACAAGATCAACCTAAGTTGTCCAAAATGTTCTACATAACCAGGGGTTTTCTTTATAGACCATCAGTGATGTCAGCTAGGTCTGTGATAAATGTATCATGTACTTGTAAAAATAATAATAATTACTATTAATATTATTGCTACTACTATTATTATTATAGTGCATGTATGGCTGTAGTTCATGGCTACTACTTGGCAGAAGCTGGCCATTAATCAAGATTTTATACCACATACAACCTATGTTCACCATGAAATGAGTAAATATTTCTTGTGTAAATTGTTATTTTGGGAGATATTAGTAATAATAATAGAATTTATTTTGGCTGCACAGCACATCAGAGCATGCTCAGGTTATGGTATATGGTATATTTTTTACCACTCATACCCAAAATATCTCAATTAATGCACTCTTGATATCACTCAGTATGATGTACATTGCTGTGTATATATTTAAGATTTAATACTGTCCATGGAGACGTGGCGGAAAATCCTTCCTCCATAAGAAATGCCTGTTATAAGAGGCGACTAAAATGCCAGGAGCAAACGGTGGATAACTGCTTCTCTTGTATAACTTACTAAATGTGAAAAGAAATTTTTTCATTTCATGTTTCAGGTCACCCTGCCTTGGTGGGAAATGGTCACTGTGTTAAAAAAAAAAATACGTAAGATTTCTAAATGTTAGGTCAATAAGCTATGAAGGTTACTTTTGATTATGACAATATGGGTGAAATGACAGGATATCTTTATTGGGTCCTTTCATCCATTAAGTTTTATGCTTATATTATTCACTAGTTACATTTAAATCATAGTGGAGACAAGAGGATTTTGTGGCTTGATCTGCTGTTGGAGTGGGAGCAGGGTAATATTTGTAAAGGGATTTAAGGAAACCTGTTAGTTGGACAAGATTCATGGAAGATTTCCTATAATTTTCTTTTATTTGTCCTCAGTATCAGATGATGTCATACAGCGCAGAGCAGAGGAAAGCAACATTTTCAGATTCATCTGTGCTTATCGTGAATTTGGACATCTCAAAGCTGATATCAACCCATTGCAACCAAATGAAAGGTGAATTAAAATAATCTTATTCCTAGAATCATTATATAGTAAATTTACCTTCAGAAAATGCCATGGGTGAATATAGGTTAGTTAAAAATTTTGTCATAGCTCATTTATCTGCATGAATATACTATTCTGTAAAAAAATTTTACTGTAAACTATCCAGTAATCTGTTTTAATTTTTTGTACATATCATAATTATAAAGCCATAACAAAGTTGCTTGCATGTACAGTATCATATTTATATTTTACTGTAAGTACTGTATTAATTTTCCATTTTTTAAGAATATTTAGTCCATTTTTGATATTGTATAAGTACCAATTGATTTTATAATTTCATTGTTTGCTTAAACTTATTTTTTTTATATTTATTTTGTATTTATTATAATTTGAGCATTAAGTACAAAAAATACAATAGAGTGCAGCCAACCACTTATACTATCATAGCATACGGCTGATTGCACACCATTTTTTTTTTTTTTTATTATCACACTGGCCGATTCCCACCAAGGCAGGGTGGCCCGAAAAAGAAAACCTTTCACCATCATTCACTCCATCACTGTCTTGCCAGAAGGGTGCTTTACACTACAGTTTTTAAACTGCAACATTAACACCCCTCCTTCAGAGTGCAGGCACTGTACTTCCCATCTCCAGGACTCAAGTCCGGCCTGCCGGTTCTCCCTGAACCCCTTCATAAATGTTACTTTGCTCACACTCCAACAGCACATCAAGTATTAAAAACCATTTGTCTCCATTCACTCCTATCAAACACGCTCACGCATGCCTGCTGGAAGTCCAAGCCCCTCGCACACAAAACCTCCTTTACCCCCTCTCTCCAACCTTTCCTAGGCCGACCCCTACCCCGCCTTCCTTCCACTACAGACTGATACACTCTTGAAGTCATTCTGTTTTGCTCCATTCTCTCTACATGTCCGAACCACCTCAACAACCCTTCCTCAGCCCTCTGGACAACAGTTTTGGTAATCCCGCACCTCCTCCTAACTTCCAAACTACGAATTCTCTGCATTATATTTCACACCACACATTGCCCTCAGACATGACATCTCCACTGCCTCCAGCCTTCTCCTCGCTGCAACATTCATCACCCATGCTTCACACCCATATAAGAGCGTTGGTAAAACTATACTCTCATACATTCCCATATGATCCTTAATTATTTCTGAACTAGTTATTTAAGGAGCTCGGTTTTTGTATAATTCTTTAGAAATGTACTGTAATGTAAAAAGTAGTTTGATCATTTAATATTGGCAAGAACAGAAAAATAGAGACAGTATTGTTTTTAGCTCATAATACTGTTCGTAAAATACTGTATTTGTACTGTAGTACGTATTAAAATCTTTTATAGAATTGATTTTAATACAGTATTGGATAATTGCACATTTTCACCATCATTCCCAAAGGCACTGTCGGATGCCTGGATTTAGCATTTCCCCCATGAAATAAATAAAAACAATAATCTATAATCTATGCTCACTGGCCTCTTCAAGGCTGGAGAGATAACAGAGCTGGAAAATATATAAAGATCATTTACTGCCCTCCACAGAGCCAAAAAAGGCATTTAAATTATTGGGAACATCTTAAGTCCCTGGAATGTACTCTCTGGAGTCGAGAAGAGTACCTAATAATAAAGTATATACTATGTACTTACTGATGTGAGACATATGGGAAGAAAGGTAAAATAAACCTAGTGACAAACAGGTGCCATGGGCATAATAGAACACTATGTAAACATCTGTGACCCCAGACTCTTTAACCTGCTACCAGCAGGTATCAAAATAATTGCTGGAACAAATGTTTAAATCTTCAAGAGGAAATAGGCCCAGTATCTCCAATAAGTTCAGATCAACCATTCTGTGATGGTTATTTGGGCCAGCAGACTGCTAAGAGCAACATTCAGGTTGAACAGACAATCAACAGTTAAGCTTTGCCACACTATTCTTTAATCTCATGCAGCATACTGTAATTACAGGAGTAAAATTTGTGAAATTCCAGTAACAGAATGAGGTGAAACTCAAAATTTGTGAACCTTAAAATATTTTAATGTAGAACTAACAAATTTAATCTTTAATGTTGATGGAGCATGTGTAGTGATATATTTAGGAAGTACCTAATAATTTTTATTTATTCTGCTGCCCAGTCATTGGTGAGTGGGCACCTCTGACTTTTCTGTGCTGTGCTCTATTTAAAAATAATAAGAATCTATTCAGTGGCTTTATTTCCTTAGACTGGTGCCTGAGTTGGAACCTCGATTGTACAACTTAAGTGTCGATAAGACATATAACATTAAAGGTCTCATAGCTGGGTGTGATGAGTCTTGCACATTAGAACAGCTGCAAAGCATCCTACAAGACAAGTATTGTGGACATATTGGTGCTGAATTTTCATACTTGCCAGTAAGTTATTATAGTAAATCTTAACAGCCATTAAGTGCAGTCTTAACATTCATGAGGCTTACTTGTGCATAATATGTTCCTGAAACATTATTGTTCCATGCTCTTTGTTCACATAATTTGCAATTTTTTAAACATTTCTGAACATAAATAAACATTACAATTTTCTACTGTTTAACATAGTAGATCCCGCTTAACAACTCTTCTCACAAATTAATTTTGAATAACGACCATAAAAACCTAGGACCCTTCCCACTGCTTAAAGACCACCTTATGCTTGTACAGTTATCAGATTCCACGCTGCTGACTTCTACCCCTCTTAACAATTGCTTCTGCTCATGCAATGACCAGATAATGTGTATACAGTGTGACAACCTAAGGGTCAGTATAATCCTTTAACCCAACAGTAGATGACTTAGAAGCCATCACAGTCCTTCAACCCACAAGTAACAATGACATGTACATATATGTATATGTATGTACACTTGAGAAATACATGCCTCTTTCTCTGTGTGAATGTATGTATGTGTATGTGTAATGTGTGTGTGTGTGTGTGTATGTAATGTGTGTTTTGTGTGTGTGTGTGTATTGTGTACTCACTTATTTGTAGTTGCAGGGGTCGATTCATAGCTCCTGGCCCTGCCTCTTCACTGATTGCTACTAGGTCCTCTCTCTCTGTGCTCCATGAGCTTTATCAAACCTCATCTTAAAACTGTGTGTGGTTCCTGCCTCCACTGCATCACTTTCTAGGCTATTCCACTTCCTGACAACTCTATGATTGAAGAAATACTTCCTAACATCCCTTTAACTCATAGGAGTCTTCAGCTTCCAATTGTGACCCCTTGTCTTTGTGTCCCATCTCTGGAACATCCTGTCTTTGTCCACCTTGTCAATTCCTTGCAGTATTTTATGTCGTTATCATGTCTCCCCTGACCCTCCTGTCCTTCACAAGGAAAAACTAACATAATAAGAAATTATAGAATAGAACACACTGAAAATAGCAGAAAAATACTATAAGAATTTTTTGGGCACAACACAAAATTAAGACACTCAGCAATTAACACAAGGTAGCAAGGAAAATTGAATACAAAGTAAATACAAGTTAACTGAACAAACTCCTACACTGGGAGTGTTAACACAGCAACAAATTAACAAATAAAAATTAATAATAACACTGCACTTAGTGTAAGAAAATTAGTATATCACACTCAATAAAGAAAATATCAGAAATTACTTCAGTCTGTAGGGAAATTATATTAAAACACAGCAAGAAAATTAGAATAATTTACACAGTGTGTAATACAACACTGAAAGAACACTGTCTCAGTATTAAGTTAGTCACTTGGACATGAAAGTATATCATTAATATGTATCACTGAGAGTTCTGAGCATAACAGTCTTGCAGAAAGTATTCTGCACACTTGAATAATTTCTAAATGAACAGAAAATTTACAATGCAAGACATATACGGGGAAAAAGAATGAGATAAAATTTGGAGGAAACCTAAGGTGCAGATACTTGTAAAATGTTGTCACACTTTGCTTCAAGGAGCTGGGAACTACAGATCATATAGGTTCTGAGGTAGAACTCAATGATGACACTGCTCTTAGTACAAGTGTCATGATATGAGAAAAAATGTATCAAGTTGTCCTTAGTTTTTGCTGCCTGTACCTAAGAGGGCATCTAAGAACAGAGTTTATTGTCCCTTTCCTCTTTAAGAATGAATTTAATACTGTTTATTTGGGTTAATTTTAATTATTTTTTTCACTAGCTGGAAAGATACTGGTGTAAGAATGAGAATTTCTTCCTTTGCATTTTTGAAGGCTACAAGTTATTTTGCCTTTTTTAAAGCCTGAGCCTAGTTTTTCTCTAGAACATGATCTATCTATATATTTTTGTTCAGGTTCCCTAGTTACTGCTGGGTGCAAGGGGCAAATTTATTAGAGCATGGGAATTCCCCCTCCACATCTTTTTGAATCTGCTCAAAAATTAAAGATTTTTTATTAAGTAATATTTACCTGACACACTACAGGTTCAAGAACAAGAGTTGTAGGTAATAAATGAAAAGGTAAAACAAGCTAACGTTATAAGTTCTGGGAGGCAGAACAGTTTTTAAAATCCAGAAGTCTTGATTTTTGGGGGAGTTAAATTGGCATGCAAATTGATAGTTATGTGGAGTTGGTTAGAAGGATGCTTTGATGAAAGATAATGGTTCACAGGAATTTAGGAGCTTTAATTTTTTTTCTATCATTAGATTGTATCTTTGGTGTGGTTATAAGTACTGTACATAATGTAATTTCAGTAGGGTTATTCTGTTATTTTATTTGCCACTGCACTTCTTGTATTTATGTCTTCATTGGTTATTTGTGTGGTAGTTTATTTTCTTCCATTTGTGAAGTTGTAATCCCTGATCAACTTAATGTCAAACAGAAAAGAGAAAAACTGCTAAATATATTAGTTATTCTTTATACATTATACTGTAGATCTGATTTTTTTTTTTTTTTTTTTTTTTTTTTTTTTTTTTTTTTTTTTTTTTTTTTTTTTTTTTTTTTTTGCCATTCAGACTCTGGAAGAGAGAGAGTGGTTTGCAACAGCCTTTGAAACAATAGTTGGAGAAGTTCTGACCACTCAAGAACGCATCAGGCTGGCTGGAGACTTGTTGAGATCTCAGGCTTTTGATAATTTCTTAGCCACCAAGTTCCAAAGTGTTAAGAGATATGGAGGAGAGGGAGCAGAATCTATAGTTGGCTACTTCAAGGAAACATTCAAGAGACTTGCACAGGGTAGGTCAAGAAACAAAAGTGCTGTATTATAGTTTTGATAATATACTGATACATTTGAGTCTCAGTATGTATGGAATGTGATTCCTAGAGGCCCTGCAATTACCAGATCCAGAGGTGGATCTTCTGTGAAACTAATGAAGCTTAAGCTTCAGGGCCCCTAATCCTGGAGGGGCCCCAGAAGCGACTTTAGTCCACATTGCTTAAAAATTTTGGGTCTTCTATATGAGAAGGGGTTGTGAAAGGGCCCCCATAACAGTTCAAGCTTCAGTGCCCCAAAAATGTAGGTCCTCCACTGACCAGATCCATAAAAAATCTTATGACCATGTTCTATAAGAAAAAAGTTGATTGTGCATAATACATTGTAATATATGAAGATTTTTTTAATCCATGCAGTACAAACCTTTTATGATATGCTGATGAGATGAAGATGGCATTGGAAGAGCTGTTAGAAAGATGATAATTATTGTTATTACTGTATTATCCTAATTACTACTATTGCTAATTATATAACTTAACTCCTGTAAAACAGTTAGTTTTGCTTCTACCCAGAATAAAATGTTTGTTTATGGATCTTACAGCTTTACAGTGGACCCCCACCTTACGATATTAATCCGTTCCTGAGAGCTCATTGTAAGCCGAAATTATCGTTAGCCGAATTAATTTTCCCCATAAGAAATAATGGAAATCAAATTAATCCGATCCTGACACCCCAAAGTATGAAAAAAAAATTTTTTACCACATGAAATATTAATTTTAGTACACACAAACTGAAGAACACATGCACAATTACTACTCTACTAAGAATAGAATACATGACACTTACCTTTATTGAAGATCTGGTGATGATTGATGGGATGGGAGGAGGGGAGAATGTGGAAGTTATTGTTTAGAAGGGAAATCCCCATCCATTAGGACTTGAAGTAGCAAGTCCTTTTCCAGGGTTACTTCCCTTCTTTTAATACCACTAGAACCAGCTTGAGAGTCACTGGACCTCTGTCGCACAACAAATCTGTCCATAGAGCTCTGTACCTCTCGTTACTTTAAGACTTTCCTAAAATGGGCCATAACATTGTCATTGTACAGGTTACCAACATGACTTGCAGTAGCTGTGTCAGGGTGATTTTCATCCGTAAAGTTTACAGTTCAATCCACTTTGCACATATTTCCTTAATCTCTTTTTTCAATTCCATACTAATTTTCACCCTTTTTAACACAGGGATGGCACTAGAAGCTTTCTTGGGGTCCATGGTGACTTATTTTGCAGTTACAAGCACTAAAAACACTGGGATAATGTGAAATGTACCGAATGTATGCGTAGATGCGACCAAACTGGCTGGCTTGTAAACACTGGCGCTGAGGCCACACGTGGGACGCATCCCAGATGAATCACGTAAGGCAAGTTTTTTATCGTGAGGCGAGGCAAAATTTTTGCATTCAAATGCTTCGTATGGCAGATTTAACGTAACGCAATGCGTTCGTAAGGCGGGGGTCCACTGTATTTGTAAATTTACCAAATTTTCAAACAAACATAATTTAACTAATACACCTACCATCCGACTTACGACCGAGTTCGGTTCCGAGAAACCAGTCGTAAGTCGAAATGGTCGTAAGTCGAACTTTACTACTGAATATCAACAAAACATTTTTGTAATGACTTTATTTTATTGTTTTATTTTGGTATTTCATGTTTTACTTTACTTTTTATGCTGTTAGTACTGTATTTTATACTGTAAGGTTTAGGATAAACACTGTACAACACAAATAGTTGTTTATTTCCCAGAAATTTTGCATAAAAAACACGGTCGTAAGTCGAGTGGTCGTAAGTCGAGCAGGTCGTAAGTCGGATGGTAGGTGTATATATAATTAATATTTTTGGGAGCAAAAGGCTAGTAACCCCAGTTAGTTGAAAGAGAGAATGGAGCGAAACAGAATGACTTCAAGAGTGTATCAGTCTGTAGTGGAAGGAAGGCGGGGTAGGGGTCGGCCTAGGAAAGGTTGGAGAGAGGGGGTAAAGGAGGTTTTGTGTGCGAGGGGCTTGGACTTCCAGCAGGTATGCATGAGCGTGTTTGATAGGAGTGAATGGAGACAAATGGTTTTTAATACTTGACGTGCTGTTGGAGTGTGAGCAAAGTAACATTTATGAAGGGGTTCAGGGAAACCGGCAGGCCGGACTTGAGTCCTGGAGATGGGAAGTACAGTGCCTGCATTCTGAAGGAGGGGTGTTAATGTTGCAGTTTAAAAACTGTAGTGTAAAGCACCCTTCTGGCAAGACAGTGATGGAGTGAATGATGGTGAAAGTTTTTCTTTTTCGGGCCACCCTGCCTTGGTGGGAATCGGCCAGTGTGATAATAAAAAAAATAAATTATTATTGTTACTACAGGCATTATTATTATTTGTGTTAGAATATTAATCATATGCATTCATATGTGATTATGTGTGAGTGAGGTGAAAATTTTGAATGATGATGAAAGTATTTTCTTTTTGGGGATTTTCTTTCTTTTTGGGTCACCCTACCTCGGTGGGAGATGGCCGACTTGTTAAAAAAAAAAAAAAAGCATTCATATGTACATACCATTAATGGAAATACAGTGGACCCCCGCCTTACGATTAGTTCCCAACTCAAATAATTATGTAAGTGTATTTTTGTAAGTGCTTTTGTACGTGTATTTTTGGGGGTCTGAAACAGACTAATCTAATTTACAATATTCCTTATGGGAACAAATTCGTTTGGTAACGGCACCCGAACAGACTTCTGGAATGAATTAATATCGTAAGTCGGGGGTCCACTGTACTGTACTGCCTTGTATTTTTGTTGACAAAACATGTATATACACTGAAGCAAACAAAATATCAGTATATTAAGGTATAATGTACATATAAAATTCTGTACTTTATGATTTTTATGAAAATGTGAAAAATATTGGTGAAGTGTTCTTGAAATTTTATTACCGCTTAAGTTTTCCCGTTATAGATGGGGTGGAACACGCCGTGATGGCCTTGGCTCATCGGGGACGGCTTAATCTTCTATCTGGTGTTCTGCAGTACCCACCAGTTGTTATGTTTCAGAAGATGAAGGGTCTACCAGAATTTCCTCCTGGCATGCACTTTACAGGGGATGTTCTCTCACATTTAGGTAGGATCACTCATGGAAAGATAGCTGAGAATAAATATGATGAATGTGTTTTTGTCCTTTGAATCACCCTGTCTTGGTGGAAAACACTCCAGTGTGTTAACAAAATTTACTGGTAAAATAAGATTTCAGTAATTTTCTTAAAGTAAATAGCATTTTGTTAAATTACATTTTGTGTGTACATAATTACAATAATTTTGGGCTATTGCAGTTAATAATGTGTCATGGAATTTCTTTTGGCCATGGCTTCATATTTTGTTGTCTATTGATTGTCTGCTGTATAACCTCCAGCCTTAGGTCAGATCAGTGAGTAACTTCTAACTAGGTTGCTAATTAAGATTTTATTATTTATGAAACCTTGGAAAGCTCTAGATTGATAATGTTATAATTGATTTACTGTAATTTTATTAGTTTGTATTATCTGAAAGTTATACATATTTAATTGTGAATTCACTGTTTATATGCTTTTTTTATTTTTATCATTATAAACTTATGCACCTGTACACACTTTGTAGATAAATATGTTGTAATGTTGACTTGGAATTTTCCACTTTTTTTGTTTTCTTAATTTTTTGCAGTCGTCTCGGTAGACTTAGAAATGGCTGAGCACTCCTTGCACGTTACTATGTTACCAAACCCATCCCATCTGGAGGCTGTGAATCCTGTGGCTTGTGGCAAAACACGTGCAAGGCAAAAAAGTTTAGGTGAAGGTTGCTATTCTTCAGATGTTTCTGCTCGGGCTGGTGATAAGGTTGTTTGTATTCAGGTGAGGAAGTTAAATGAAGTATAGATAGGGAAATATTTTTTTTTTTTTTTCAACAAGTCGGCCGTCTCCCACCGAGGCAGGGTGACCCAAAAAGAAAGAAAATCCCCAAAAAGAAAATACTTTCATCATCATTCAACGCTTTCACCTCACTCACACATAATCACTGTTTTTGCAGAGGTGCTCAGAACACGAACAGTTTAGAAGCATATACGTATAAAGATACACAACATATCTCTCCAGACTGCCAATATCCCCAACCCCTCCTTTAGAGTGCAGGCATTGTACTTCCCATTTCCAGGACTCAAGTCTGGTTATATAAAAATAACCGGTTTCCCTGAATTTTTTTTTTTTTTTTTTTCAACAAGTCGGCCGTCTCCCACCGAGGCAGGGTGACCCAAAAAAAAGAAAGAAAATCCCCAAAAAGAAAATACTTTCATCATCATTCAACACTTTCACCACACTCGCACATTATCACTGTTTTTGCAGAGGTGCTCAGAATACAACAGTCTAGAAGCATACACATATAAAGATACACAACATATCCCTCCAAACTGCCAATATCCCAAACCCCTCCTTTAAAGTGCAGGCATTGTACTTCCCATTTCCAGGACTCAAGTCCGACTATATGAAAATAACCGGTTTCCCTGAATCCCTTCACTAAATATTACCCTGCTCACATTCCAACAGATCGTCAGGTCGCAAATACTATTCGTCTCCATTCACTCCTATCGAACACACTCATGCACACCTGCTGGAAATCCAAATCCCTCGCCCACAAAACCTCCCTTACCTTTTCCTTCCAACCTTTTCGAGGACGACCCCTACCCCGCCTTCTTTCTCCTACAGATTTAAATGGTCTCCATGTCATTCTACGTTGATACACTCTCTCTAAATAACCAAACCACCTCAACAACCCCTCTTCAGCCCTCTGACTAATACTTTTATTAACCCCACACCTTCTCCTGATTTCCACACTCCGAATTTTCTGCATAATATTTACACCACACATTGCCCTTAGACAGGACATCTTCACTGCCTCCAACTGCCTCCTCGCTGCTGCATTCACAACCCAAGCTTCACACCCATTTAAGAACATAAAAACATAAGAACGAAGGAACACTGCAAAAGGGCCCTCGGCCCCTGCGAGGCAGGCCCAATTCCCTAGGGTTTAAGCAATGCACCCACCTAGTCAGGTCAGGTCACATTGCAAGGGGGGAAACACGGCACCGATTTTTTGAAAAGTATCAGGCCCAACTCCACCCACCCACATCTACTCATGTTTTTATCAACCTATTTTTAAAGCTACAAAACGTTCTGGCCTCAAAACTTTATTTGGGGAGTTTGTTCATCACCCCAAACCCCTTTTCCCCAAACCCCAGTATTTCCATATCCTCCTAAACTAAATTTTTTCCCAACTTAAACCTTTGCTGGAGTCCTGCTAGGCTAGATTTTTCGCCCTATTTACATCCCCTTTATTTTCCTGTTTTCCCCCACTTTTTAACCTCAATCATACCCCCCCTAATTCTACGTTTTCTAGAGAGTGCTTTTCGGCCCCCAGTCTACCTCTAGGGAAGGTTTCTGTACTGGGTTCTTTGTCACTCCTTTTTACTTTTCCCGAGAATTTTTATCCTTCTGTAATACGGTGACCCCAAAAAGTGCGCATTTCTAAATGAGGCCCCAACCAAGGATGTATAATTGAAGAAAAACCCGGGGTCTTTTTTTATGCTTTTTTGATATGAAGCCAAAGGGTTCATTAGCTTTATTTCGAAAACTTTTCACGTTGTCTTTTTTTCAGATTACTGCTAACCAGAACCCTAAATTTTTTCGCAATCCGTAATATTAAGTCTACATTATTTAGGTTTTAAAGTGGCATGGTTATTGCCCGTCCCAAATTTAGAACTTTGCATTTTCTATTTAAACTGATTGCCCCCTTCTCCCACCCCCTGCATCAGTTATTCAAATCCTCCGGAGGCTCGAAAGTCCCTCAAAAGAATTACGGCCCATTTTGGTGTCAGGGGGAAACTTGCGATGTCGCTCTTTATGCCCCCATCTTGTCGTTTTTTAGATGTGAAAGCAGGGGGCCCCCAAAACTGACCCCTGTGGAAACACCGCTCGTGACGCTTTCCCCCCTCTGATTTTTCCCCATTTATGCAACTCTTGCTGCCCATTTTTCAACCTGCCCTCTTCCAGGAAAAAAAATTTTCCTCCCATTCCCTGTGCTTTTAATTTCCTCAATAGTCTTGAGTGGGACCCCGTCAAAAACCTTACTGAAGTCCATTACACAAAATCATTTTCATTACCATGATCTACCTCCTCAAATCCCTTAGTGAAAAAAGTTAATAAATTCGTAAGGCAGGAACCCCCCTTTTGTAAAACCATGCTGAAAATTGGTTGATTAATTTATGCTTTTCAAGGTGGCTACGAACTGCCTCGGCAATTATTGATTCCATAAATTTTCCCACTATGGAGGTTAGGCTTATTGGTCTATAGTTCGAAGCTAAGGACCTGTCACCTGTTTTGAAAATAGGTACACTTTTGCCATTTTCCATTTATCGGGCACCATGCCAAGTTTGTAGTGATATGTTGAAAAGATTAGCCAAAGGTGGTGCTAAGCTCCTCTTTACATTCCTTTAGAACCCTTGCTACAGTTCATCAGGGCCTGGGGATTTGTTAGGTTTTAATTTATCTATTTGCCTAAGGACCATGTCACTTGTGACCCTAATAGTGCACAGTTTTATTATCGTCCTGTTCTACATAATTATCATTACTGGAATATCGCTGGTAAATTCCCCCTGTGTAAAAACTGAGAGGGAAGTATGTGTTAAAAATTCTACACATTTCCTTATCACTGTCAGTGAGCTGACCCGAGGGAAATTTTGAGTGGCCTATCTTGTCCTGATCTTACTTCTGTATACCTGAAAGAATCCCTTTGGGTTAGTCTTCGATTCTCTTGCAACTTTAACCTCATAATCTCTATTTGCTTTTCTAATTCCTTTTTTTTTTCTCTCTTTAACTGAATATATCGATTTCTTAATTGCCCCTCTCCTCTTTTGATTTGCCTATATATGCCTCTCTTTTGACCAATCAGATATTTTAATCTATTGTTCATCCATTTAGGATCATTTTTGTTTGATCTGATTTCCCTATTTGGAACATAATTTGACTGAGCAGCTAGAACTATGCCCTGGAAAGCATCATATCGGCAACCATCACCACCTACCTGACCCCTAGTCAGGTCATTCCAGTTCAGCCCACCTAAGTAATTTTTCAGTCCTATGAAATCAGCCAAGCTATATATACTTTCATACATTCCCTTCTTTGCCTCCATAGATAACATTTTTTGACTCCACATATACCTCAACACACCACTTGCCTTTTTTCCCTCATCAATTCTGTGATTAACCTCATCCTTCATAAATCCATCCGCCGCACGTCAACTCCCAAGTATCTGAAAACATTCACTTCTTCCATACTCCTCCTCCCCAATTTGATATCCAATTTTTCTTTATCTAAATTATTTGATATCCTCATCACCTTACTCTTTTCTTTGTTCACTTTCAACTTTCTACCTTTACACAGGGTAAATATATACACAGGGTGATAAGTTATTAAATGCTGTAAAGAGTTTTTATGAGGATAGTGAGGCTCAGGTTAGGGTGTGTAGAAGAGAGGGAGACTACTTCCCGGTAAAAGTAGGTCTTAGACAGGGATGTGTAATGTCACCATGGTTGTTTAATATATTTATAGATGGGGTTGTAAAGGAAGTAAATGCTAGGGTGTTCGGGAGAGGGGTGGGATTAAATTTTGGGGAATCAAATTCAAAATGGGAATTGACACAGTTACTTTTTGCTGATGATACTGTGCTTATGGGAGATTCTAAAGAAAAATTGCAAAGGTTAGTGGATGAGTTTAGGAATGTGTGTAAAGGTAGAAAGTTGAAAGTGAACATAGAAAAGAGTAAGGTGATGAGGGTGTCAAATGATTTAGATAAAGAAAAATTGGATATCAAATTGGGGAGGAGGAATATGGAAGAAGTGAATGTTTTCAGATACTTGGGAGTTGACGTGTCAGCGGATGGATTTATGAAGGATGAGGTTAATCATAGAATTGATGAGGGAAAAAAGGTGAGTGGTGCGTTGAGGTATATGTGGAGTCAAAAAACGTTATCTATGGAGGCAAAGAAGGGAATGTATGAAAGTATAGTAGTACCAACACTCTTATATGGGTGTGAAGCTTGGGTGGTAAATGCAGCAGCGAGGAGACGGCTGGAGGCAGTGGAGATGTCCTGTCTAAGGGCAATGTGTAGTGTAAATATTATGCAGAAAATTCGGAGTGTGGAAATTAGGAAAAGGTGTGGAGTTAATAAAAGTATTAGTCATAGGGCAGAAGAGGGGTTGTTGAGGTGGTTTGGTCATTTAGAGAGAATTGATCAAAGTAGAATGACATGGAAAGCATATAAATCTATAGGGGAAGGAAGGCGGGGTAGGGGTCGTCCTCGAAAGGGTTGGAGAGAGGCGGTAAAGGAGGTTTTGTGGGCAAGGGGCTTGGACTTCCAGCAAGCGTGCGTGAGCGTGTTAGATAGGAGTGAATGGAGACGAATGGTACTTGGGACCTGACAATCTGTTGGAGTGTGAGCAGGGTAATATTTAGTGAAGGGATTCAGGGAAACCGGTTATTTTCATATAGTCGGACTTGAGTCCTGGAAATGGGAAGTACAATGCCTGCAATTTAAAGGAGGGGTTTGGGATATTGGCAGTTTGGAGGGATATGTTGTGTATCTTTATATGTGTATGCTTCTAAACTGTTGTATTCTGAGCACCTCTGCAAAAACAGTGATAATGTGTGAGTGTGGTGAAAGTGTTGAATGATGAGGAAAGTATTTTCTTTTTGGGGATTTTCTTTCTTTTTTGGGTCACCCTGCCTCGGTGGGAGACGGCCGACTTGTTGAAAAAAAAATATATATATAGACTATATATTATTAAAAGAGAAATAATTTATTATTATTTATTGCATATGATTGGTCCAGTATGTGTATTCCTAGACATTTTTTTTTTTTTTTAATGTGCCGGCCGTCTCCCACCAAAGCAGGGTGACCCAAAAAAGAAAGAAATACTTTTACTATTATTCAACACTTTCACCATCATTCACACATAATCACTGTCTTTGCAGAGTTGCCCAGATATGACAGTTTAGATGTCACTCCAAACAGCCAATATCCCAAACATATACTATATAGAAATACGTACTGTTGTTTGAAGAGTAATATAGTTTGCTACTTTATATTGTGTAAATAGAGCCAATAAAAATAACTCAGAATTAAAAAAACAGAGGCCCATGATAGTGCATCTGTGTGCAACTAAATGTGGAAGATTTACTGCCATGATATAGTTTACGAGTACAGTATGTAAAAAAAATGTTTTTGTTGTTTTCAGGTCCATGGAGATGCTGCACTGGCAGGACAAGGGGTAATGCAAGAAACGCTGGCACTCTCCAATGCTCCACACTTTGCCATTGGTGGAGCCTTACATGTCTCCATTAATAATCAGGTGTATTTCTATTAATTTTCCATGGGGAAGTGGAACAGAATTCTTCCTCTGTAAGTCATGCGTGTCGTAAGAGGTGACTGAAATGCTGGGAGCAAGGGGCTAGTAACTCCTTCTCCTGTACACATTACTGAAGTTAAAAAGAGAAACTTTTTACTTTTTGGGCCACCCTGCCTCGGTGGGATATGGTCAGTTTGTTGAAAGATTTCTATTAATAAGTAAATCATGTAAAATTACTGTACTGTGTTAAAATAGTATTAGAGATGGGAGATGTGGTTAATATGCAAGTTATGCAGCCCAGTAGAAAACTTTTTCTCTTTCCATTCCCACACCTTTGTTAATTGGTGTTGGAAGCAAAAGGAGCATTGAGTGAAGCTTGCTGGGTAAGTGCTTTTCTTGAATATAATATATAATAATCTTGAAGGCAATAGCTCATTGCTTAAATGCTAAAGAGTTAATGCATACCTAGTAGTATAACAGATCATATAATACAAGAAAACAAAATGAAATAAAATAATTGCTAAATCTGTGACCTCGGAATGTTTATGCCAGAAACTAAAATTATACATAAGAATTATACAGTATTAATATACTTATTAAATTGTTGTAAAGAATCAAAGAAATAAATCTTTATAACTAAATTTTATATAACCAGACTTGAGTCCTGGAAATGAGAAGTACAATGCCTGCACTCTAAAGGAGGGGTTTGGGATATTGGCAGTTTGGAGAGATATATCGTGTATTTTTATACATATATACTTCTAAACTGTTGTATTCTGGGCACCTCTGCAAAAACAGTGATTATGTGTGAGTGAGGTGAAAGTGTTTAATGATGATGAAAGTATTTTCTTTTTGGGGATTTTCTTTCTCTTTGGGTCACCCTGCCTCGGTGGGAGACGGCCGACTTGTTGAAAAAAAAAAAGAAAAAAAAAAGTATCGTAATTATTTTACAAAACTGATTACAAATATTTTGTAGTGCAGTATTATGAGAGGAATCTTAACACTTAGGATAAGCAGTGTGTGGTATGAATATTTTGAAGAGACTTGGGAGTGCACAGATCAGATGACAGTATGGAGTTACTAAAGTTATAATTCAAAGGGCAGATGTGGGTCGTTTTAGTGTTTTGACCATATAGAAAGGTTGGAGCAGAATAGGATGACAAAGGTGTATAAATATGGGATGGAAGGAAGAAGTCAAAAGAATCGTCCTAAGAAGTATTTGAGGGAGGGATTGAAAGGTTCTAAGTGGTAGAGGTTTGAGCATCCAGCAAGTGTGTGTGTGAAATCAGAATGAGTGATGACATATTTAGGATATGATGTGCTGTTTCAGTGTGAGCAAAGTAGCATTTCAGGGAAACCAGTTACACAGATTTGAGTCCTCGAGGTGGGAATGTGGAGATTTTGCTGCTCAGAGCATCAGCCATAATGTAATTCACTTTTGGTAAAGCAGCTGTTGAATGAATAAAGGTGAATGTGGCTGATGTGATAAAAAAATGAATTAGTAATTCTTCTTTCAACACACCGGCCGTATCCCACCAAGGCGGGAATTAGTAATTATTAAATGTTAAATATTTTACCTTATTTTGAAATATTTGTATTTCAGATTGGCTACACAACCCCTGGAGAGCGCACACGATCATCAGATTATTGTACAGATATTGCAAAGATGTGTAGCATGCCAGTCATACATGTAAATGGTGGCAATCCAGAGGTTGGTAATTTTTGGTGTCTGAGGGTGGAATTTATGGCACATGTGCTAAATTTGGATGAAATGTTGGCTGAAAAGATTAAGAAAGGTTAAGTAAGGAATCAGCAAAGAATGGGAACTTATGAAAAAAAATAGCTGATAAATGTAGAACATTGATTGAATGTGAAAGACAGTTGTGTAGACATAGCAATATGTACAAGATTGGAAGTATAGAAATATACGAAGTTGAAAATTTTATAAGTAAAAATTATGTAAGCCTACAGATACAATGGTCAAATTGTTGATGGCCCATCCTATCTGTATAATACAGTGGTACCTCGGGTTACGAACTTAATTCGTTCCAGAAGGCTGTTCGAGTGCCGATACCGAACGAATTTGTTCCCATAAGGAATAATGTACATTAGATTAATCTGTTTCAGACCCCCAAAAATACTCTTACAAAAATACACTTACATAATTGTTCTAGTTGGGAGCTGTTTGAAACTTGAGATAACCACTGTATTTATAAAGCAAGTAGCTGAGGCCAGTGGTGTATTCATTATTTATATACATGAATATCTTAAACCTAGGTAGTAGGTTGGTAGACAGCAACCGCCCAGGGAGATGCTACCCTCCTGCCAAGTGAGTGTAAAACGGAAGCCTGTAATTGTTTTACACGATGGTAGGATTGCTGGTGTCTTTTTTTTCTGTCTCATACACGTGCAAGATTTCAGGTACGTCTTGCTACTTCTACTTACATTTAGGTTACACTACACACATGTACAAGCATATATATACACACCCCTCTGGGTTTTCTTCTATTTTCTTTCTAGTTCTTGTTCTTGTTTATTTCCTCTTATCTCCATGGGGAAGTGGATCAGAATTCTTCCTCCGTAAGCCATGCGTGTCGTAAGAGGCGGCTAAAATGCCGGGAGCAAGGGGCTAGTAACCTCTTCTCCTGTATATATTACTAAATGTAAAAGGAGAAACTTTCATATTTCCTTTTGGGCCACCCCACCTCAGTGGGATACGGCTGGTACGTTGAAAGAAGAAGAAGAATATCTTAAAGCCTGTAATACATTTAGCATGCATACGTAGTCTGGTTGTATTTCAGTGACAAATAACATGGTAGAAAGTTGGTAGATATCAACTATCCAAGGATTTACTACTGTCATACTCACAGTCATATGACTGAAATGGAAGTCTTGTAGATGTTTTGCACTTAGACTTGCTGGTCTCAATATTGTTGAAGATGGCAGGTAAATCTTACAAAATCCTGATTTACATTCAGCATACACATACCTTACTAGCTAGTTGTCAAAATTAATAAATTATTTTAGGAGTGTGACTTATGAAGGATACAAGGTTATGAGACCACAGTATGTATTAAGTTTAAAAAATCTGTAAAGAAATTTTGTGTTTTGGAAGTTGGTAATAAGAATAAAATTTTATTTTTAATTTGTTTTTAGGATAAAATGCATTAATATTTGACTTGAAAATTCACAGATACATTTTCTGTTAACCTTGCTAACATAGGAATAATTAAAAAACTTATGCTTTTCACCTGTAGGATGATTAACTGAGTTATCCCTGTGTATAAATATATACAGTACATGCACATTTTTTCCAGGCTGTTGTGAAAGCTGCTCATTTAGCAGTCCAGTATCAAAGGAAATTTCGCCGAGACGTGTTTGTTGATTTGGTGTGCTGGCGCCGATGGGGGCACAATGAATTAGATAATCCTTGGTTTACCAATCCCTTGATGTACAGCAACATTGATTCTCGCAGGTTTGTTATACGTCTCTTTACTTTCCTGCGTTTAGTGTTTTCTGTGAATATACTAAGTAACACATAATAATTTGTATAACTTTATAAATCAGATTTATAGTACATGTCCATTAAACATTCCTTGTCATTAATTAGAAGACCAACAGTAGATGTTCAGCATGTACAATTGTACATCCCACCACATAGCTTACAGGAATGTATAGTTGCACATCCTTAGTCCATTACATTGTTCATCTTCTTGTTCCTTCATTGTTCTGTATTTTTCTTAGATTCTTACTTTTAATTAAGAATGTCACAATTTTCTTATTGTATAATTAAAGCATAATGTTACTGAAACCTACAGCTGATGACTCTAAACAAATTAAGGATGTGGAATGTGAAAAATACTTTCAATAGTTTTTACCGATATTTTGTAATTTTGAGTAATGTAATGAGTGAATTGGATAAGGCAGTTGCAAGTCTATAATGGTAAGTGTAAATTTTATAGTGGGAAATGGAATAGGTTTAAAGTGCTAAATAACCAAATGGTTTTAGTGCTTTGTAAATAAAACCAAACCAACAAATCAAATATTTTTTAAAGATGATACATAGTTTAATTTCCATTTGTTTTATTTCATTAAACACATTCATGAGAATTCCATAGTCTTAGGGAATAAAGACACATAAATACAGTATAATGCAATCCTTTATTGACAGTGTTTCACCTACACAGTTCTTTATCAAGTCAAATAGATCTGACTGACTTGATAAAGCCTGCTGTGTGGGTGAAATGTTGCCAATAAAAGATCACATTATACTGCATTTATCTTTATTCATCATGTCTGTTTTGTACTATTTCTCACCATAGTCGTAAGGACTCAGAATCTATAAGGTGTATTCCTTTTACACATACAGTAATGAAAATGTAATATCTGTCAATAGTGTAATCATATCTAAAACAAAAATAAAGATAATATAAATAGTGCTTGAAATGTGGCCATTGGTCTAGAAATTTGGTTGCAGCTTTTAATATTCAATTGTAATGAGAACCAAATGATTGCTAAGTTAATTATTTTACCTTAGGATTTGCAACTTCAGTGTCAAAATTGGCAACTATAATTAGTGGGCGAGGGGCTTGGACTTCCAGAAAGTGTGCATGAGCATGTTAAATAGGAGTGAATGGAGACGAATGGTATTTGGGACCTGACGAGCTGTTGGAGTGTGAGCGGGGTAATATTTAGTGAAGGGATTCAGGGAAACCGGTTATTTTTATATAGCTGGACTTGAGTCCTGGAAATGGGAAGTACAATGCCTGCACTTTAGAGGAGGGGTTTGGGATATTGGCAGTTTGGAGGGATATGTTGTGTATCTTTATACGTATATGCTTCTAAACTGTTGTATTCTGAGCACCTCTGCAAAAACAGTGATTATGTGTGAGTGAGGTGAAAGTGTTGAATGATGATGAAAGTATTTTCTTTTTGGGGATTTTCTTTCATTTTTGGGTCACCCTGCCTCGGTGGAGACGGCCGACTTGTTGAAAAAAAAAAAAATTAGTACTATGCTGTGTACAGTATTTCATACCAGTGCTGTCTTATGTTTAAGGTGTTACTGAAAGAAAAGTCATTTCTGATATTTCTTTTATAAAAAAAATATAGAAAAATGAGGAAATAACAGATATGCAATGAGAAAATGATGTGCATTAGATCAGGTTATAAGCACGATTAATATTTGAGTAGGTGTGATTTTTTTTTTTGGGGGGGGCCTAATGTGTCAGTATCTGACTTACAGGAGTGTGCCAGACACATATGCTGATTCCTTGGTGACAGAAGGCATACTAACCCAGGAAGAGGTTGTGAAAACTACAAGTGATCACATGGCATTTCTAGCTGAGCAGTTCAAACTAGTCGATTCTCATGTTCCAAAGGTATACCGATATAGTTTATTCAGAGGGTAAATGCTCTAATTGATATTTATCAGTGAAATTTTAATGAAAAATGTTCTTAATAGAAAATTAAATGCTGACCTAATATTTTTGCTAATGTTAATTATGGCAGATGTAAGGATAAATAGTCTGCCAGTATAAACAGAAAATTTGGAGAGAAAAAAATAGATGTAATACTCATTTTGAAATGGAGAATGTATGTTGAAATTAGATGTTTACTTACCCTTGTAAAGAGTGATTACTCTTTATTATCTTATTTCAGGCTACCCAACTAGAAAAGCAGTGGTCAGGGCTTGTTCATGCTCCTGGGGCCATTGAAGTTTGGGACACTGGAGTGGATATTGCTTCTCTTAAGTATTTAGGAGCAAAGTCTGTCTACGTACCTGAGGGATTTGTAAGTATTGTCTTGTAATACTCTACTCAGTATGATTTATAATTTTCAGTTTCATATTCTAAAATTTCTGAAGTTCCATTTTTTATATCCTGATTCATTTGTCATGCTGTGTTAGTACAGTATAGTACAATACAGTCTATAATGATAAGTGTAAACTTTATAGTTAGAAATGGAATATGTTTAATGTGCTGAATACTCTAACAGTTTTAGTGCTTTGTAAATAAAACCAAACAAACAAAATACAGTGGACCCCCGGTTTACAATATTATTTCATTCCAGAAGTATGTTCAGGTGCCATTACTGAACGAATTTGTTCCCATAAGGAATATTGTGTTAGATGAGTCCATTTCAGACCCCCAAACATACATGTACAAACGCACTTACATAAATAAACTTACATAATTGGTCGCATTGGGAGCTGATCATAAACCGGGGGTCCACTGTATTTTTTTTAAAGTTTCATACTTTTATTTTTGTTTTATTTTCTTAAATCCATACATTCATGAGAATTCCATAGTCTTCAGGATAAAGACACACGTACATTATAATGCAATCCTCTATTAACAATGTTTTACCCACTATTACAGAGTACTACATTAAAATATTTATACATAAAATAATGCTCCATACATAATGTCATTTTCCACTTTCAGTATACTACACAGAAAATGACATATATGAATATTTTAATACAGTACTCCATAATACCCACAAGGTGCTTTATCAAGTCATAAACAGATCAGATTGTAACTTGATAAAGCCCACTGTGTGGGTGATATGTTGCTGATAAAAGATAACATTATACTGTATTTTTTTTTTTTCAACAAGTCTGCCGTCTCCCACCGAGGCAGGATGACCCAAAAAGAGAAAGAAAATCCCCAAAAAGAAAATACTTTCATCATCATTCAACACTTTCACCTCACTCACACATAATAACTGTTTTTGCAGAGGTGCTCAGAACACAACAGTTTAGAAGCATATACGTATAAAGATACACAACATATTCCTCCAAACTGCCAGTATCCCAAACCCCTCCTTTAAAGTGCAGGCATTGTACTTCCCACTTCCAGGACTCAAGTCTGGCTATATAAAATAACCAGTTTCCCTGAATCCCTTCACTAAATATTACCCTGCTCACACTCAACAGCTCGTCAGGTCCCAAATACCATTCGTCTCTATTCACTCCTATCTAACATGCTCACGCACGCTTGCTGGAAGTCCAAGCCCCTTGCCCACAAAACCTCCTTTACCCCCTCCCTCCAACCTTTTCGAGGACGATCCCTACCAAGCCTTCCTTCCCCTACAGATTTATACGCTCTCCATGTCATATTTAGAAACAAAAAATAAGGCAATATAAATATAGTGCTTGAAATGTGGCCATTGATCTAGAAATTTGGTTGCAGCTTTTTAATATTTAATTGTAATGAGAACCAAATGATTGTTAAGTTAATTATTTTACCTTAGGAATTGCACCTGCAGCATCAAAATTAGCAACTACACCTACCATCCGACTTATGACCTGCTCGACATATGTCCATTCGACTTACAGCCATGCATCTGGCAGTTGGGCTGGGCCGGCTGATGCATACCGCTGTGCAATATTTGACGATACTCACGGCGGCAATGCGCCATGCAGGCAGCATCAGTTTGAGTAACCCTACCCTATCAGCAGCATCACACTGTATTAACTGTACTAACTGGACAGTAAATTTCACCATGGCCCCTAAGAAGAAGTCTGAATCTTGCACTGGAGATTGTGGCAAGTAGGCAAGAAAGGCTCTTACTCTCGAACTCTCTTTATTTGTTTTCACTGTTGCACATAAACCTGTCTCTATCTGTCTGCCTGTATATCAGTCTGTCTGTATCTGTCGGTATCTGTCTATCTGTCTGTATCTATCTGCCTGTCTCTCTATCTGTCTTTATGTCTTCCTGTGTGTGTCTGTCTTTCAGTCTACCTGTGTGTCTGTCTTTCTGTCTGCTTGTCTCTATCTCAGAGCTGCTCATGAACCAACAGGTATTACACATGAAGCAGAGTTGTCATGTCTTCAATATGACGCTGATATCGCTCTACGGCTTATTTATCTATCACAATTCATCTAATATGGCATAATTTATATATTTTTTTTTTTATTATCACACCGGCCGATTCCCACCAAGGCAGGGTGGCCCGAAAAAGAAAAACTTTCACCATCATTCACTCCATCACTGTCTTGCCAGAAGGGTGCTTTACACTACAGTTTTTAAACTGCAACATTAACACCCCTCCTTCAGAGTGCAGGCACTGTACTTCCCATCTCCAGGACTCAAGTCCGGCCTGCCGGTTTCCCTGAATCCCTTCATAAATGTTACTTTGCTCACACTCCAACAGCACGTCAAGTATTAAAAACCATTTGTCTCCATTCACTCCTATCATAATAAACAATATAAATAACAAAAACCTGATATACACTCTAGAATGAATAAAATATGAACTTAACTGCTTTAAGCTCCACATCTTACGCCTGTGCTGGCAATGCAGGTACACATTAAAATCATTAAGAGTGTGTAACTGGTCTTGATGATGCCATATTAATAATAATAATAACACAATGTGTGGTGTAAATATTATGCAGAAAATTCGGAGTGTGGAAATTAGAAGGTGTGGAGTTAATAAAAGTATTAGTCAGAGGGCTGAAGAGGGGTTGTTGAGGTGGTTTGGTCATTTAGAGAGAATGGATCAAAGTAGAATGACATGGAGAGTGTATAAGTCTGTAGGGGAAGGAAGGCGGGGTGGGGGTCGTCCTCAAAAAGGTTGGAAGGAAGGGGTAAGGGAGGTTTTGTGGGTGAGGGGCTTGGACTTCCAGCAAGCGTTCGTGAGCGTGTTAGATAGGAGTGAATGGAGACGAATGGTACTTGGGACCTGACGATCTGTTGGAGTGTGAGCAGGGTAATATTTAGTGAAGGGATTCAAAGAAACCGGTTATTTTTATATAACTGGACTTGAGTCCTGGAAATGGGAAGTACAATGCCTGCACTCTAAAGGGGGGGGCTTCGGGATATTAGCGGTTTGGAGGGATATGTTGTGTATCTTTATACGTATATGCTTCTAAACTGTTGTGTTCTGAGCACCTCTGCAAAAACAGTGATTATGTGTGAGTGAGGTGAAAGTGTTGAATGATGATGAAAGTATTTTCTTTTTGGGGATTTTCTTTCTTTTTGGGTCACCCTGCCTCAGTGGGAGACGGCCGACTTGTTTAAAAGAGAAACAAAAAAAAAAACAATAATAATCACTCTGAGGCACATTAAATGTGTGTAAAATGTTAATATAGACATATTGCATAATCCATCTATGATTTTTTTCAAAATTATATAATAAACATGCTATGTAACATATGAACATATAAATTAACATTATTATGAGATGTTTTTCTGGTCGGCTTGACAGAGTGAACAAAAACCATTCATGTCCGGGCTGGTAACAACAACAACAACTAGTTTGTTTACAAAACTCGCAAACCTTCTACACTCTCATTCTCTCTCTCTCTCGTTTATTCATTTAATCTTGTTTACTCACCTCTCACTCTACATTAAGACTACAGATATTTTAACCCTTAAACTGTCCAAACGTAGATCTACGTTCACATGCGTAGCGCTCCAACCTTGATTTTCCCCATTTGAAAGCATGTAAAAAGAAAACGTAGATCTACGTTCAGAGCCCCTCGCACGTGGACGTAGATCTATGTTTGGACAGTTTAATTGTTAAGGTAAGTAATTATATTATAGTTTAATAATAATAATATTATTATCAATATTAGTACATACATATTATTGTAATAATAATACTGTAATAATTATTATTAATATTATTATTAATTTAGGGCACTAGAGCACAGATCCACTGTCTGGATTTTTTGGGTTATCCTAGGTAATTTATACTATGTATGATAACTTTACTTATGTGTAACTGTGAGAGAGAGAGAGAGATAGAGACAGAGAGAGAGAGAGCCAAATTCAGTCAGTCAGGCAACCACCCACCCACCCACACAAAGGCCAGCCGGCCTGCTAGCCAGCCAGCCAGATACGTATTACATATGTTCCAGAGTTGTTTCTCTTTACTTAGGGCATAGATTAGAGGACATTCTGGCATGATGGCACTACCAGTGGTATTCTCCCATTCCACTGTGTTGACAATACTTAAAGATAACAGTAACATATGATACTGTATGAGATGTAAAATTTACAATACAGTTCACTACCATGTATACATATTATACAGTACATAAATGATTAAAATATATCTATAGAAGTAAATTATGGTAAAAAGAATGAAATAATGATTGTACATTACATTACAGTACTATGTAGGTAGTTTATATAGCAAAGGTTGGACATTATGCCCTACCCAGTATGTCGGCAATTTTCAAAGGTTCAACTTACGTCCACTTTGACTTACGACCAGTTGGTAGGAACCAAGCTTAGTCATAAGGTCAGATGGTACTTTTACATATAATTAGTACTGTGCTGTATACAGTGTCTCATACTGGTGCTATCTATTAATTTCTCTCAGCATCATTTCATTGCATATACTATATACCTTAGGCACATATATTAACCCTTACAATTTTAATATTTATTTCTGACACCGAGGCAGATTGGCCCAAAAAGAAAAACGAAAGTTTCTCTTGAAGTTTAACCCTTTCAGGGTCCGTCCCGTAGATCTACGGCTTTGCGTTCAGTGTCCAAACCGTAGATCTACGTCATGAGCTCAGCTCACTCTGATAAACTGTGAGTGGTACACTTGGGCCTAGATATGAGAGAATACATCTATGTGGTATGTGTGCACCACATAAAACAAATCCTGCAGCACACTGTGTATAATGAGAGAAAAAAACTGAAACCAAGATTTTCGATTAAAACAGCAACTTTGCAGTGTTTTTTCATATGTTTTTTATAGTTGTATTTGCAATTTCTTGGTCTCATTTGATAGAATGGAAGACATATTACAGAAATAGAGATGATTTTTGATTGGTTTTAGCACCGGAAATGGCTGAAACTGAGCTCAAAGTAGCGGAAATGTTAAATTTTTGTCGATGTTCAAGAGTAAACAAACGACCTCACACGTCTAATACATGCCAGCTGGTGGATCTAATACACATTCACAAATGTGGTGATGATATTTATACAATTATTACAATATTGCATAACAGTAAATCTTCTATTTTTTGGTGTGAATAAAAATTCATTATGTAAATAAAAAATAAAAATGGGATTTATTTGTAAAGCCTCAAAGCGTAACTAATGAACCGAGGAGATGTTAGTTTAGTGCCAGGAATGCCTACATTGTTTATTCTGGATGCTATTTTGAAATTGGAATATTTTGAACTTTGTGTTAAATTGGCCAAATTACCAATTTCCGATCACTTTATTTTGTAGTTGAAACAGTTGACTTGGCGATTTCTTGTGCTCAATCGATAGAATAGAAGTAATACTAGTAAAATAGCTAAGAATTTGGTTGACTGGAATGATGTAATTGGCCTAAAATGGAAGTCAAAGTCGGCAAAATCGCCGATTCGTAAATATCGCTGACACATCAAAATTTGCGAGAGCATAATTTCGTCAATTTTCCATCAAATTTCGTACTTTTTGTTTTATTACCTTCACAAAAAGATTCTCTACTATTTCATAAGAAAAAATAACAAATTTTTTTGGGGAAAATTCTTGGACACTGGGGCACCACTTCAGATTTGGGCCTTGGACCCTGAAAGGGTTAATAATATATATACAGGAGAAGGGGGTTACTAGCCCCTCGTTCCCAGCATTTTAGTCACCTCCTCCGACACGCATGCCTAACAGAGGAAGAATTCTGTTCCACTTCCCCATGGAGAAAAATTGGAAGCACACACAGAAAAATAATATTCCTAAAACCTTTTGGCTACTGTTAAGCACTGTTAAGAAAAATCCAAATAAATTAATCATCATAAATTGCAAGAGTTCAGCCACAAACAAGAGTCATTCCTGGGAATAAAGTAGTCCTTTCATGTTTTCCTACATTACTTCTGCCAGCAGTAAGACTGGAGGTAGTGGAGATGTTATGTTTGAGAGATGTGTTAGGTGTGAATATTACGCAGAGAATTCAATGTTAAGATTAGAAGATGGTGTGGAATTACCAGAGGTATAATTTAGAGAACTGATGAGGGGGTTATTGAGGTGGTTTGGGCAATTAGAAAGGATATAGCTGAATAAGATGACTGAAAAGATACATAAATCTGGAGTGGAAGAAAGGAGGTGCATGGGTCATCCCAGGAAGGGTTGGTGAACAAGGTTTTTTATTGCTAGGGGTGTGAACATCCAACAGGCTTGTGCATGGATGTTAGAGCAGTGGAGAAAAGTTTTGTATGACTTGACATGCTATTGGAGTGTGAGCAAGGTAACATGAAGAAATTCAGGGAAAACCAGTTAGCTGGACTTAAGTTCTGGAGGTGGGAGGTACTGTACAGTGCCTGCAGCCTCAAGGAGGGGTGAAGATGTAGCACTTTAAAGGGTCATCTGAATTGTGGTATCAGCACACTTTTGGCAAGACAGCAGTTGAATGACTGATGGTGAATGTGTTAAGTTTTTTGGGGTCACCCTATCTCTGTGGGAAACAGTTGGTGTGTTTAATAATTATTAATTGTTATATGTTTTTTTTCCCTATTGATTTATTCAGCTTTTTAATGTTTTGTCACTATTTTTCTTTGTATATTTGTGCACAGATACATATGCATGTTCATATTCTTACTAATTTAAATTATAGTTAAAGAAAAATAAAACTTAATGTATCCCATATGTATACATGTCAACAGAATGTCAGTAAGCAACTTAAAAGAAGCCACATTGACACCCGTCTTCAGAAACTTACCGAAGGACGTTGCTTGGACTGGGCAACTTGTGAGGCTTTGGCCATGGCTTCAGTATTGCATCAAGGTATACTTGGTAATAGTTAAGTATAGTTTTTTGTGGATTTAATCGAATTGAATCGAATAAGACGACGAGAGCTGTCGTGAGATGGGAAGGAAGAAGGATAAGGAAGGATGGAAATAACTGGAAAAGGATGGGAAGGAGGGGAAGAGGAGGAATTAAGGCAAGTGGCCCAACCACTTTGGGACATGTGGTACTGAAGTCCTGGAGACGTAGATGGAGAGGCTTGAATGATGTCGTTACTTGGCTCACTAGGAGAGGATGGCGAAGGCAGTGGTAGGAGCTGGGAGTGTCAGAAGGCAAGCAAGCAGGATGAGTTGGTTATTGTCTTGAACCATTTTTCAGTGCATTGAATTTTGTTCGAGAGATTTGTAGCACACGTATGGGAGAGCTGTAGTAGAGTTCGTTGGTTTGGAGTTGGTGGAGTATCTGTTTGAAGGTAGGGTATGGTCTTTCGTCGCTTTGGTACGTTGCAGTGTTGTCTTGGAGATGTTGGATGAGTTCTAGGCGAGCCATTCGTGTGGGGTATTGCATCGTGGTGTAGAATGTGAGTCCTTTGTGTTCAACCCATGGTGTTCCAGGTAATCGACGTGAGCGAGGTGGAGAAGGCGGTGGTGGAGTTGAGGAAGGTGGTGTTGATTCGTTGTCAACTTCAGTAGACGAATTAGAAGATGTTTCTGGTGGCAAGGCTTCTGATTGATTTAATATAGCTATTATTTTATTTAAAAAGAAAATTTGTTATATAATACCTTATTTAAGGTGAGTGAATAAAAAAAAATGTATGTAAATTCCAAGGTGACTATTTGTATGCTTTTGTAAAGGGAATGTAATAATGGAAATGGCAAAACTGATAAAAGTTTGAATTTATTAATGGTGCATTTAAAAAAGAGAGCAAATTAAAATCAGCTTGAATTGTAAGCAGAATACTATTTATGGGTTAACATGTAGAGAAGATTCAGTATGAATTGGTTATTTGTATGGCAGAGTAATTCCAATAGAATACCAGTAGAAATTTAAGCAAAAAATTATTGAAATACACACACTTAAAGTCCCAAGTCTTTGAAAGATGAAAGCATTTTTCCTCTATATTTTTCAGTAACAGAATTTTTTTCTTAAAGGTTTCAATATACGTTTAAGTGGTCAAGATGTGGGCCGAGGTACATTCTCACAACGGCATTGCATGTTGGTTGATCAGGCAACTGATGAAATGTATATTCCTCTTAATCATATGAGTGAAGAACAAGCTGGACACATTGAAGTTGCCAACAGCATTCTTTCTGAAGAAGCAGTACTTGGCTTTGAATATGGAATGTCAGTGGAAAGCCCAAACACGCTCTGTATATGGGAGGCACAGTTTGGAGACTTCTACAATGGTGCCCAAATTATGATTGATACATTTGTATCATCAGGAGAAAGTAAGTACAGTATATTTTTTCTTAAGAGCAACTGCAGGTCTTCTTCATTTTAGATAGATTACTTCTGTGTTTATAATTAAAGTTATTGGTAGTGTAATTCACTGTAATGCCATGTGCATTCACCTTTTATATAGGTACATATACCTGTGATATATTCCTGTGACCAGTTTTAAGTTTTTCTACCCTTGCAGCCTGGCCTGGGGTCAAACTTTTCTTTTGATTGACTGGTCAACCTGACTGTTGTCATTGGTGGTCTGTCAGCCCACATATCCATCACAGCCTGGTTGATCTGACACTTGGTATAACCATTTTATTACTAGGATGACTTAATTCATATGATAATTTTCATTATTGCTCTTGGTGTCTTTTCTGTTGATGCTTTTCCCTCAGGAAAAGCTACACATTCCCTACCCACTCTAAAACCTCCTTGCTCATCCGCAATCCTACATTCTGTCTTACCTCTAATTCTTTCAATAATAACCCTACCATACACTTTTCCTGTTATACTCGGTAAACTTATTCCTCTATAATTTTTACAATCTCTTTTGTCCCCCTTCCCTTTATATAAAGGGACTATACATGCTCTCTGCCAATCCCTAAGTACCTTCCCCTCTTTCATACATTTATTAAACAAAAATAACAACCACTCCAACACTATATTCCTCCCTGCTTTTAACATTTCTGTCATGATCCCGTCAGTTCCAGCTGCTTTACCCCCTTTCATTCTATGTAATGCCTCATGAACCTCCCCCACACTCACATCCTCCTCTTCTTCACTCCTAAAAGATGGTATGCCTCCCTGGCCAGTGCATGAAATTACTGCCTCCCTTTCTTCGTCGACATTTAAAAGTTCCTCAAAATATTCCCACCATCTACCCAATACCTCCATCTCTCTATCAACTAACTCTCCTACTCTGTTTTTAACTGACAAATCCACTCATTCCCTAGGCTTTCCAATATTTTTTCTTATTTTCATCAAAATTTCTTGACCATGCCTCTCCCACTTTATCATCTGCTCTCCTTTGACACTCTCTCACCACTCTCTTCACCTTTCTTTTATTATTCTTTTATTATTTATGAAAGTTAATATATGTAGGAAAATGGTTGACACAAAGTGGCCTAGTAATGGTTCTGCCTCATGGATATGATGGTGCCGGCCCAGAGCACTCATCATGTCATATTGAACGCTTCCTGCAAAACTGCGACTCTAGTGAAACTTCTCCAGATGGAGAAGATGTCAACTGGATTATTGTCAATCCAACAACTCCTGCACAGTATTTCCATTTACTCCGGAGACAGGTAAGATGAGGGTGTAGTTAGTCTGGAAATTACTTGTCAAGAAACATATCCTAATACATGTATTTGTATTTTTCTAAAAATACAAGTTGATGAGTCATTGTTCATTTGTTGCTTGCCATGATGTTACTTATGATAATGTAAATACACTAATTTGAAAAATGTATTCAGTGCACTTATAGCTTTACATTTTTATACATGTGTATAAACTTTCTATAAAAAATTTTGTTTTTCATCTATGTATTTAGCACTCTTAATTAAGACAAGCAGGGCCCATAGCATACATATTTCTCAATTGATAGTAACTTAGGAGCTGTAATTATCCATGTTTTTTTTCAGTGAAGTCTATTGATTGATTACTTCTGGCAGATGCTGAGAAACTACCGCAAACCTCTTATCATTGCTGGTCCTAAGATGATTCTCCGTCTACCAGCTGCATCATCTGATCTGGAAGACATGGCTCCTGGAACACACTTCCACCCCATCATTGGTGAGTTGTAAGCTTAACATGCATGTGCTTGACAATATAAAATGCTATGGAAATAGATGTATTTACATACAACACAATACTTTCACTTTCCTTTAGTAACAGTGTTAGCATCAAAGAAGCAGTCTAGCTTAGGGGAAGATGCCAAGAAGTTTAAGCATAAAACTGTGCCTCTAGTAAAGAAAATAGAGGCAAAAGATATGCCAAAAGGTGGTGCACACACGAGTGATTCAGCCCAGGCTTATGAGGTGAGGGCATCAAAAATTTCTTTGATTAGAGACAATGAGCAGAAGATAAGAGCTTGTGTGATAAGTAACCAAATTATGGCACATTGAAAAAAATGGAAAAGTGGTCAATACAGCTAAATAAAATTGAAAAAATGCTGGATGACTAGATTCACTACACGTATCATGTTTTCACGTATAGCTCAATTTTTCTGGAACATATCTCAAGTGAAATGTTATTGTCTACTTTATTAGAATATTCCAACATGTGCGGTGGCTAATTCACAATTAGTCCATTAATTTGTGAAGAAATTCTTCTGTCCTTGACTGTTATCGACTCATGACTTAATTGTTGTCCAGGATGAACAGTTCATCTTAATTTTGAGTTGGGTGTGAATTATTACAGCCATGGTAGTGTGGCTTTTATTCTTTACAGTGACTGATATTCTTAGAGATTCTTATTTTGAAATTAGGTTTAAAAAGTTTTAAGATAGTGCAATATCCTGGAAAGACTAACAATATGTCAGCCTACTTTCATTAATGCAAAACTTAATTTTCTTTTTTTAGGTGACAAAAATGTTAACCCTGACAGTGTCAAGAAAATAATTTTTGTGAGTGGGAAACACTATTATGCTTTAGTGAGCGAAAGAGAAGCTCGTGGCATCACAGACACTGCAATCATCCGGCTGGAGTGTCTCTGTCCATTCCCAACCAACGACATCAACAATGAATTGCTGAAGTACAAGAAGGCCAAGAGTTAGTTTAACCCATTTTTGGGGGGAATATTTTTGGACATATTGTTAACCCAATATGTTAACTTCTGTTCAACAGATAATGATCTAAGTACAGCCTCTCCTCACTTAATGACGGAGTTTCGTTCCTAAGACCACATCAGTAAACAAATTCGTTGCTGTGCAAGAAAGGTATAAAATACCGACAATATGAAAGTTAAGACACATGTGCAACATCTGGATATCTTTATTGTAGACGTTTCGCCATCCAGTGGCTTTATCAATACAGATTCTAGGACATAATTGGAAGACAGTAGAACTATATACAAAAGATGAGGTAATCAATCCCTCAGCCTTGGAGTTAGTGTTCACAGCATCGTGGTGGAGGAGAATCTGGAGCAAAGGCAAGAAGACTGGCGGTTATATAGGCGTCAGTGGATAAGGACGTGCAGCAGACGAGGGCATAGTCACTGGTAGGCGGGATTCCCCAGTGGAAGTAGGTCCTTCCCAAAGAGATGGGTTAGTTGTAGCAGCCGTGAAGAAGGTCTTGTAGATGTCCTCTGAACCAAGATTCCATGATGTTGCAATGTCTGACAAGTTGTGCAAGAAAGGTATAAAATACCGATAATATGAAAGTTAAGACACATGTGCAACATCCAGTGGCTTTATCAATACAGATTCTAGGACATAATTGGAAGACAGTAGAACTACATACAAAAGATGAGGTAATCAGTCCCTCAGCCTTGGAGGTAGTGTTCACATGTGTGTCAACTTTCATATTGTCGGTATTTTATACCTTTCTTGCACAACTTGTCAGACACTGCAACATCATGGAATCTTGGTTCAGAGGACATCTACAAGACCTTCTTCACGGCTGCTACAACTAGCCCATCTCTTTGGGAAGGACCTACTTCCACTGGGGAATCCCGCCTACCAGTGACTATGCCCTCGTCTGCTGCACGTCCTTATCCACTGACGCCTATATAACCGCCAGTCTTCTTGCCTTTGCTCCAGATTCTCCTCCACCACGATGCTGTGAACACTAACTCCAAGGCTGAGGGATTGATTACCTCATCTTTTGTATATAGTTCTACTGTCTTCCAATTATGTCCTAGAATCTGTATTGATAAAGCCACTGGATGGCGAAACGTCTACAATAAAGATATCCAGATGTTGCACGTGTGTCTTAACTTTCAAATTCGTTGCTAAGTGAGGAGCATACTATAATGGTAGTGGGTTTGTGTCACCAATCTTGATATTGTTTTAATGTCACCTTTGAACTAGTTGTAGCATTTCTAGCATATTTTTTAATGTTTATGCAGTAGTGTACTGTGTACAGTGGAACCCCGAGTTTCGAACGTATTGACTATCAAACGCTTCGAGTTTCGAATGCTTTTTTCACACCAATTTTGTCCCAAGTATCGAACATGCCCTGTATTTCTAACCGCGTACCAGACCTGTCCGCCTGCCCGGGGTTTCCCCTTCCAAGCAATAAGTGCTCCCTCACTCCTCCTCCCTATCTTCCAGATACCATCAATAATCTTCAATAAAGGTAAGTAAAAATGTTATTTTATATGTTTATTTATCTATTACTAATTGTACTATGTATATTTGTTGTGTGTATGTAAAACTATAATTAATCTCTGCAAAATGTATTTTTTTTTTTTTTTTGGTTTCAGGAACGGATTAATTGCATGTACATTATTTCTCGTGGGAAATATTGCTTCGAGTTTCGAACGTCTTGACTTTAGAACTAGCTCCTGGAATGGATTAAGTTCAAAACTCGTGGTGCCACTGTATTGTACTGAACAAAATAGAGGAAATCAGCTCTAATATACATTTAGGTATGCATACTGGTCAGACAACCCGTTGTAAGTCCGATACGTCGGTAAACAAGTATGTCGCTAGGTGAGGAGATGCTGTATAGAATTGCAAGAAATTGTACATAGTGCAGCAAAATTTGTTAATGGCATTTAGTAAACATACCATACTATCATTCCCCTCTAGCACTGAATAACAAGATGACTTGCAAGATTGAGATTATGTAATGGAGAATGTTTTTTTCTGAATTTCTAATTATAGAAAAAACTACTTCCTAATGAGATAGCAGTTATCACATTATAATATGATATTGTTTACCATTGTTGAAAATCTATTATGTAATTGTAATTATGTATATCCTCAGCATTTGTTTGGTCGCAAGAGGAACACCGCAACATGGGAGCTTGGGTTTTTGTGCACTCACGATTTGAAAACTTGTGTTCAACAAAGGTATTGCTTGATGTTTATATTCATTAATGTAGATAGTGTAAATTTAAGGAACAATGCAGCTTAAGCGAGCAACTCATACACATTTCAATATTTTATACAGTAGAACCCCCTTATCCACTGATTTGGTATCCATGGTTTACTGTGGCTGAAAAATACTTCTTTAATTTTGCATAATAATGGCCCCAAAGTGCAAAAGTAGAGAAGCTGACAGTTCTTCAAAGCCTAAGAAAAGCCGTGAAGTGCTTCTCCATTTTTTTTTAACACATCGGCCGTTTCCCACCGAGGCAAGGTGACCCACAAAGAAAGAAAAAAAAAGTTTCATCATCATTCAACACTTTCACAATCACTCATACAGAATCAGTCTTTGCAAAGGCGCTCAGATACGATAGTTCAGAAGTCCCTCCAAACTGCCAATATCCCAAACCCCACCTTAAAGTGCAAGCACTGTACTTCCCATTTCCAGGACTCAAGTCCAGCTAACCGGTTTTCCTGAATCCCTTCACAAAATATTACCCTGCTCACACTCCAACAGCTCGTCAGGTCCCAAAAACCATTCGTCTCCATTCACTCCCATCTAACACGCTCACGCATGCTTGCTGAAAGTCCAAGCCCTTTGCCCACAAAACCTCCTTTACCCCTTCCCTCTAACCTTTCGAGAACAACCCCTACCCCGCCTTCCTTCCCCAACAGTTTTAAGTGCTCTCCAAGTCATTCTACTTTGTTCCATTCTCTCTAAATGACCAAACCACCTCAACAACCCCTCTTCAGCCCTCTGGCTAACACTTTTAATAACCACACCTCCTAATTTTCACACTCCGAATTCTCTGCATAATATTTACACCACACATTGTTCTTAGACAGGACATCACTGCCTCCTCACTGCAGCATTTACAACCCATGCTTCACACCCATATAAGAGTGTTGGTATCACTATACTCTTGTTCATTTCCTTCTTTGCATCCATGGATAAAATTCTTTTGTTTCCACAAATACCTCAATGCACCACTCACCTTTTTCCCTTCATCGATTCTATGGTTAACCTCATCGTTAATAAACCCATCTGCTGATAAGTCAACTCCCAAATATCTGAAAACATTCCCTTCTTCCATACTCCCTCCCTCCAATGCAATATCCAATTTTTCTTTATCTAAATTGTTTGATACCCTTACTCTTATCATTGTTCACTTTCAGCTTTCTACCTTTACACACACTATCCTTATCCATGAAAAATAAAGTATTTGCATTGATAATTTGCTATTTGTCAGGTTTTGAAGATGTATATTGGAGAGAACTAAGTTAAGAAACATGGACAGTTATCATATTTTATATACTTTTAATTTTTGTACCGGAAAAATCAGCCACAGAACAAAAATTAAAGATTAAATAAATTTCCTGTTAAATTTTATCATATACCCAACTTCTCCCCATTATACAGTAGCCATGTTGCAGTTTGGTGGGTCATAATTGGACTACTGATAGTTACAAATAGATAGAGACTTTAGCCTTCTCTTTAAACATATCAAACTTATATTTCAGTTAAATCCTATATTGCATTCTCATGATCATAAAATTTCGTTATAGAGCTAAAGTTATTCTTCGCAATGCAGTTCTAATTAATTTTACATGCAAATTAATGCCTTCCATTTATTATAGTTGCAGTATGCTGGCCGGGAAGTACTGGGCACTACAGCAGTTGGTATTGGTGAACTTCACAAACAGGAGGTTCAACATGTTATGCATCAAACTTTTACTTGCTGACCTGACTAAAAACAGTCATGCGCTGCATAACAACATTTAGGTCAACAATGGATGGCATATATGATGATGCCATGCGCTGCAGTCGTATAAAAGTATAGCACATACAATTATGTACAGTACATATACTTGATAATAAACAACTATGTTACTGGTTTATGTATTACTATACTGTACTTTTAATCGTTAGTCTAGAGTGTACTCTTTCTACTTACAAAAAAAGTTTACTGTAAAACAGTATGCTGTGTTATGCCGGCAGCAGCCTCATACATCACGTGTTTACCGCGTCTCTTGCTAGCATCATTTTCCACTGTGCTTGATTTTATCTCATGTTTTGTTCATCATGGCCCCTAAGCATACAAAATCCACTACTAATGTTGCCATAGCTGAAGAAGAGGTAAGAGAAAAGGAAACTGCAGGAAAAGAAAAAGAAGAAAACCCCAAAGAAAATTCACAGTGAAGAGTTTAGCAGAAGCTTTTGCAGACCTCAACAAGCTCCTTCATGGGAGGTTCCTTGATGCAGGTGAAGGGGCTCTTGATCTAGGGAATTGGATCTGTCCTCTGGTTCCCTGAATTGAGCCTGAATACCCTCCATCCCCCCCCACATGCGCTGTATAATCATACGGCTTTAGCGCTCCCCCATGATTATAATTATATAATCAAGCTCCTTAAAAAGTCTGAAAACATGGACCTCAACACTGAAAGGTTTTCATTAATAGAAAGGAATGCTCATGGTGCATTATCTACTTACAAGCAAATTTATGATGAAAAAAAAAGAAACAATTGCCTATAGTATTCAGTACAGTAACATGATGTACAGGTTTGTAGCCTAGGAGCAAGAGGCTATACCATATAGCCTAGGTTTGCGTAAGTACACTATGACATTGACAGAATGATGGTATCGCGTAACGATGCATTTCTCAGAACATATCCCCGTCATTAAACGATGCATGACTGTAATATTAAAAGCACATTGCCAATCTTGTGGTTAAATATGGTAGTCAAGATAACTTTTATATTAATTTTTGTATATGGCTAATACAGGTGATATATGGTAATAATTACTGCTTATCAGATGAGCATATGTCTGTAGAAAATAAAATATTAACAGGATAAAAGGTCTAAGCTATCATATCATAGGGCCTCTTCAAAGACAATGATTATGTATGAGTAATGGTGAAAGTGTTGAATGATGAAAGTTTTTTTTTTCTTTCTTTTTGGGTCACCCTGCTCCAGTGGGAAATGGCCGACGTGTTAAAAAAAAAAATACCTTAAGTCTTTGATGCTGTGCAATACTGAGATTTAAAAATGCAGCTAACATCAGGGCCATTAGTGCATAATCATTAACCCTTAAACTGGCCAAACGTAGATCTACGTTTTTTCAACATTTGAAAGTATGTAACCTGGAGTTTACCTGGAGAGAGTTCTGGGGGTCAACGCCCCCGCGGCCCGGTCTGTGACCAGGCCTCCTTAGGTCAGTGTCCCAGGATGCGACCCACACCAGTCGACTAACACCCAGGTACCCATTTTACTGATGGGGAACATAGATAACAGGTGGAAAGAAACACGTCCAATGTTTCTACTCTGGCTGGGAATCGAACCCAGGCCCTCACCGTGTGAAGCGAGAGCGTTAACCACGTATATCTACTTTTGGAGCACTACGCATGTGAACATAGATCTGCTTGGACAGTTTAAGGGTTAAAAGCTGATGGTATCTTTATTTAGACTGCTATTTTTATCTGGCCTTTAGTACATATTATTGTTCCATCTGAATGCCCAAGTGGTTTTTTTTTATTATTCAAACCAGAAGAGTGAATTCCTTTAGCCTAAATACTGTGTACATTTGACTGATACATAAGGCTGTTCAAGGAAAATGCAGTATTTGAATACACTTTGTATCTAATATATCCCTCTAGGGTTTTGTATTATTTCTTACCAGTTTTATGTAGTGGATGAAAAGCATTCATTGCTGTGTCATGTAAAGCATTTTGTGAGGGTTTGGGTCACTGTATTGATTCCACAAGAGGTGACAATCATTGAAGATTCTCTAAGTGTTTCTTAGTGGCTCAAAACAGTCATGTAAAAACTATAAAGTATATTTGACCCTGTGGAATAAATTTGTGGTGCACCAGGTCTTCATCACAAAACGTCAAGTCACAGTAGCAGCTCTCATACATTTACTGTGTAGCACTGGATGAACGTATCTTTTGAAGGGCTGAGTAATAAAATAGGAAGATAGGTATTCAAATACTTTTTTTTGCTTTTATAACAGAACTTATAGAAAAACAGCTAGGGAATGAGTTATGATACATGTGTTTTCTTCTTTTGAGTCACACTGTCTTGATAGAAATGGCTCGTGTTTAAAAATCTAGTCCAGGAACTTTGTGATTACACATACAGTGCATAAAAGTAAAGCTTCACATGCATCTTCTATGATTATTTTGACTGCAGAGAGAATGACAAAATGTAGGAAGAATAATCTTCACAAACTTGGATGTTTTTTCTACCTTGTTCCTCCTAATGTGGACTTTTATTCCATTATCCATTTTCACCCCCTGTTTTGACATGCTCTGTTCACAATGTTTTTTTTTTTTTTTTTTTTTTTTCAACAAGTCGGCCGTCTCCCACCAAGGCAGGGTGACCCAAAAAAGAAAGAAAATCCCCAAAAAGAAAATACTTTCATCATCATTCAACACTTTCACCACACTCGCACATTATCACTGTTTTTGCAGAGGTGCTCAGAATACAACAGTTTAGAAGCATACACATATAAAGATACACAACATATCCCTCCAAACTGCCAATATCCCAAACCCCTCCTTTAAAGTGCAGGCATTGTACTTCCCATTTCCAGGACTCAAGTCCGACTATATGAAAATAACCGGTTTCCCTGAATCCCTTCACTAAATATTACCCTGCTCACACTCCAACAGATCGTCAGGTCCCAAGTACCATTCGTCTCCATTCACTCCTATCTAACACGCTCACTCACGCTTGCTGGAAGTCCAAGCCCCTTGCCCACAAAACCTCCTTTACCCCCTCTCTCCAACCCTTTCGAGGATGACCCCTACCCCGCCTTCCTTCCCCTATAGATTTATATGCTTTCCATGTCATTCTACTTTGATCCATTCTCTCTAAATGACCAAACCACCTCAACAACCCCTCTTCTGCCCTCTGACTAATACTTTTATTAACTCCACGCCTTTTCCTAATTTCCACACTCCGAATTTTCTGCATAATATTTACACCACACATTGCCCTTAAATACTGTTCACATATATGCTTCAATGTAAACACTTGATCTACACATCCCCTACCCACTCTGAAGCCTCCCTGCTCATCCACAATCCTACATTCTGTCTTACCTCTAATTCTTTCAATTATAACCCTACCGTATACTTTTCCTGGTATACTCAGTAAACTTATTCCTCTATAATTTTTACAATCTCTTTTGTCCCCTTTCCCTTTATATAAAAGGGACTATACATGCTCTCCGCCAATCCCTAGGTACCTTCCCCTCTTTCATACATTTATTAAACAAAAGTACCAACCACTCAACACTATATCCCCCCCTGCTTTTAACATTTCTGTCATGATCCCATCAGTTCCAGCTGCTTTACCCCCTTTCATTCTACGTAATGCCTCATGTACCTCCACCACACTTACATTCTGCTCTTCTTCACTCCTAAAAGATGGTATACCTCCCTGGCCAGTGCATGAAATTACCGCCTCCCTTTCTTCCTCAACATTTAAAAGTTCCTCAAAATATTCTCGCCATCTACCTAATACCTCCCTCTCCCTATCTATTAACTCCCCTACTCTGTTTTTAACTGACAAATCCATACTTTCCCTAGGCTTTCTTAACTTGTTTAACTCGCTCCAAAATTTTTTCTTATTTTCATTAAAATTTCTTGACAGTGCCTCTCCCACTCTTTCATCTGCTCTCCTTTTGCACTCTCTCACCACTCTCTTCACCTTTCTTTTACTCTCCATATACTCTGCTCTTCTTATAACACTTCTGCTTTGTAAAAACCTCTCGTAAGCTACCTTTTTCTCTTTTATCACACCCTTTACTTCATGATTCCACCAATCACTCCTCTTTCCTCCTGCCCCCACCCTCCTATAACCACAAACTTCTGCCCCACATTCTAATACTGCATTTTTAAAACTATTCCAACCCTCTTCAACCCCTCCCCCCACTACTCATCTTTGCACTAGCCCACCTTTCTGCCAATAGTCGCTTATATCTCGCCCGAACTTCCTCCTCCCTTAGTTTATACACTTTCACCTCCCTCTTACTTGTTGTTGCCACCTTCCTCTTTTCCCATCTACCTCTTACTCTAACTGTAGCTACAACTAAATAATGATCCAATATATCAGTTGCCCTTCTATAAACATGTACATCCTGGAGCCTACCCATCAACCTTTTAGCCACCAATACATAATCTAACAAACTACTTTCATTACGTGCTACATCATACCTTGTATATTTATTTATCCTCTTTTTCATAAAATATGTATTACTTATTACCAAATTTCTTTCTACACATAGCTCAATTAAAGGCTCCCCATTTACATTTACCCCTGGCACCCCAAATTTACCTACTACTCCCTCCATAACATGTTTACCCACTTTAGCATTGAAATCCCCAACCACCATTACTCTCACACTTGATTCAAAACTCCCCACGCATTCACTCAACATTTCCCAGAATCTCTCTCTCTCCTCTACACTTCTCTCTTCTCCAGGTGCATACACGCTTACTATAACCCACTTTTCACATCCAATCTTTATTTTACTCCACATAATCCTTGAATTTATACATTTGTAGTCCCTCTTTTCCTGCCATAGCTTATCCTTCAACATTATTGCTACTCCTTCTTTAGCTCTAACTCTATTTGAAACCCCTGACCTAATCCCATTTATTCCTCTCCATTGAAACTCTCCCACCCCCTTCAGCTTTGTTTCACTTAAAGCCAGGACATCCAGTTTCTTCTCATTCATAACATCCACAATAATCTCTTTCTTATCATTTGCACAACATCCATGCACATTCAGACTTCCCACTTTGACAATTTTCTTCTTATTCTTTTTAGTAATCTTTACCTACATAAATTCAATAACCAGTGGTGTGTTATGAAAAAATTGCTAGGTTAAGCAACTGACACTTAAGCTTTTCAGTAAAGCTAAAGCACAAATATTATTGATTATAGTTAAATCAAATTATTTTTGACTTCTGGGCAAATAATCAGTAACTTTAGTGTAAAATTCTGACTTGTTCTGAAGACCTTGCAATATTGTTTCAAGTGATCAGACAAAGCTTTGCAATTTTTCTTGACCTTGAGAATTTCTTTAGTTTTAATTTTTTTTAAGCATAGAAGCTATGCTCTATAGATGTAGTCATTGCAAGAAATATTAAAAGTATTATAATTATTATAATCAAAAAGAAGCGCTAAGCCACAAGGACTATACAGCAATATTAAAAGTAAGTAATTAACAGATGCTAGCAACTTCACTGTAAGCCATGTCTAAATCATTCAGCTTTATAGAATTCATATTTTCTACTAGTACAGTTATTATCTTTGAATTCTTCTGACATATAAACAACTTTTAAGGAGTGATTTCACTTATCAAAAATCGAAGAAACAGTAATGGCTGCATTTCAGCTATTGCAAAATAAAGCTCTGGAAATTCTTTTCTCAATCCACATAATGAAGGAGAGTATAAAAGCTCTGAGAATATTAATGAGTCCAAATTTGCAAATGTAATATTAACCAGGTTATATATTGTCATATTTCTACAGCATTGCCAGCAGTGATCTACTGGGATTAGTAATAGGGGGAGGTGGGTAGTAGTAAGAGATGGACCACTGAGAAACATGGGGGTGGTAGTAGTGGGCAGTGGTTGCAGGAGAGGGCAACTGGGAAATGCAAGGGGTAGGATAGGAGTGGGTAGCAGTAGGAAGATAGTAACAGGGAATGGTAGGAGGACAACCAGGAGGACAACCAGGAGTACTTGCAGGTTTCATTGCACTATCTCTAAAAAAGGGAATGCTCAATGATGACTACAAATATTACTGAGGAAAAGGCTAGAATTGGAGTGCTTTTTCACAGCATAGTAGATTGATCTGAATCCTAATTTAGTTGCTTTGAGAAAAAATTCCATAATTTAATGTAAATTAATAGTTTTCATCTTATGTCTGGCGGTAGCATATTATTTTACAGTGAAAGAGTGGATTATGACTGCAAATCCAATATTCTATACCTGAAGAAGGTTTTGGGGGTCAACACCCCTGTGGCTCAGTCTGTGACCAGGCCTCATGTATATTCTAACAAGTTTTAAGTCTGAATTCCTTTTACTTGGAGTTCAAAATCACTGAAACAAATAATAAAAATGTAAGATACTATATACAATAATTTTTTTAACTCAACAAGTAGATATTTTGGTTGGAAGAATTGTTAAGAGTAAGCAGTGCTTACTTTGCTTCTCATAAGTACACACCACTGTTGATAACACATTCCCAGCACCAAAACCCAGCAGATTTTGATAGTACATGAGGTCCCCACTTAAACAGCAGGTTAGATTCCAGGCTACTGATGTAAAATGAAACGGCCTTTTTACACTTTCAAATGCATATAAGAGCCTGATAAAATGTGTATACTATCATGTATTAAGTAAGCAACAGAGCTAGGCCTAAAAAATGCAGTACACACATTACTTTAAATTATTATTATAATCAAAAAGAAGTGCTAAGCCACAAGGGCTATACAGCACATTACTTTAAAATATTTTCATCCCTAGCTTATAGTGAGTGGTGAATGTATTTATTGTAGGAAGTCTGAATAAATGAAGAATAGGTATAACTGAGCTTGGTAGTAGGTTGGTAAACAGCAACTGCCAAGGGAGGCACTACTATCCTGCCAAGTTAGCGTAATATGGAAGCCTGTACTTGTTTTACATGATGGTAGGATTGCTGGTGTCTTTTCTCTGTCTTATAAACATGCAAGATTTCAGGTATGTCTTGCTACTTCTACTTACACTTAGGTCACACTACACAGGTACAAGCATATATACATATACACCCCTCTGGGTTTTCTTCTATTTTCTTACTAGTTCTTGTTTATTTCCTCTTATCTCCATGGGGAAGTGACACAGAATTCTTCCTCTGTGTTGTAAAAGGCGACTAAAATGCCAAGAGCAAGGGGCTAGTAACCCCTTCTCCTGTATAAATTACTAAATTTAAAGAGAGAAACTTTTGCTTTTCTTTTTGGCCACCCTGCCTCAAGTGAGATACAGCCGGTTTGTTGAAAGAAGAAGGTATAACTGAAAACCGCAGTATTTGTGAAATGCTGTAAAGCGAAGTACCATAAAGCAGGGACCCTCCTGTACTCCATTTGCCCTTACCACACATACAATTACCTTTTCTCTCCACTCCAAATCTCCTGTCACTTGTTGTACATGTATTAAACTTTAAAACTGTGGTTACTCAGGAAGTAATGTAATAATACTTTCTTAACAGGATGCCCATATTTTTGCACTTTTTATTTCCACACAGTTATCAGGGCAACAGAAGTTACACCATATCCTAAATATTTAACTTAGTAATAAGGTGCACATTACAATAATGTCGAAAATTTTATAGCCACCACTGTTTTACTAAAGGATGTTCAATTGATGTTTATAGTTCTGTAATATCAGATTGGTGCTTTCAATTAAAACTGTATCTAATTGTATGAATCACAATAATGTAAAAAGTATAAATTATTATTCTTTGTATTATGAAGTGTATATGTATTGTAAAATTTAAATTATATTGTATACCAGTAGTATTACTTCCCAAGGCATTTATTATAGATCTGTGACTGTTTTGAGTTTTTTGCTCCCATAGCCCAGTCTGGTGTTTGCCTAGTCAACCAGGCTGTTGTTGGAAGCTCACTGTTTCACATATCTATCACAGCCTGGTTGATCTGGCAATTCTGATGGATCTGGTAGTAGCAAGATATAGCTCTGCTTACTTATTTAAAATAAAAATATTGTTTCACAGGTAGCAATAAGCTTTATCACATCACTTGGCTTTAAACTAGAGAGCAACAGGTTCTTAGAGAATTATGCCACAAAATTATCAGCAATAGGTAACCGTTCACTGGCTACTCATTCTACTTGTTATTTAATTTTAACATACTGTATGTACATGTATTGTTATTTGATTCCTGAATTTATTCTCTTAGCACTAATTATTTTGGCACATTTTTGGATTGGATTTTCTTAATCTGTATTGTGCTGTATCAGAGATTATACCATGAGGGGTAGGGCTCGTCCTAGGAAAGGATGGAGGGACGGGGGTTAAAAAGGTTTTGTGTGAAGGGGGCTTGGATATACAGCAGGCATGTGTAAGCATATTAGATAGAAGTGAGTGGAGATGAATGGTTTTTGGGACTTTATTAACTGTTGGAGTGTGAGCAGGGTAATATTTTATGACAGAATTTGGGGAAACTGGTTAACCAGACTTGAGTCCTGGGTGTGGGATATTTTCTGTTTAGAGTGACGTCTAAACTGTCATATCTGCACACCTCTGCAAAGACGGTGATAGTGTGAATGATGGTGATTTTTTTTTGGGGGGGGGGGGCACCCTGCCTCGGTGGGAGAAACCAGCATGTTAAAAAAAAATTGTCCTAATAAAGTTTACTATATATTTTTTTTCTTTCAATTTTCAGTGTCTCATTTTAATTTTGTGTATTAAATAAAAAAAAACTATTGTGAACAAATCAAAACTTATGCTTCTAAAAGGAGAGGATTGCCTTTGTTATGGTCACATTGCTCTTCTATATTACGTCTAAGCAGTTCATCTCTTACGTGGAGTTTTTCAGCAAGGTTCTTCATGTGAGCAGTACTGTGCATTGGAAGCATTTCAGAAATATACTGATTTGATTGCTTTCGTACTTATTATTGTATTGTTGCTTATATCTCGTCCAGTCTTTCCAATCAGTTACCTTGTTTAGGCAGCAATCTTGACACAGTGAGGATGGGGAGAGCTTGTATTCCTATGACCCAGCAAACTATGTTAACTGTCACCGTTACAGAGAAGTTCAGCATCATAGTACTATAGTTTTGTAAAGATTGTCATCTCCACCACTGGAGTGGTTATCCAGTGTTGGATGATAGGGCATTCAGACCGAGATACAGTGGGGAAGGAAGTCTTTGGAATGGCATGGGCAACACCATGAACTCATGTTTGGGGAGCTCCTTGGGAATATAAAGCTTGGCAACTTCAGTCCATGCTTAGGTCCATGTCTCTTGGCTCTAAACTCCAGTTATTTTGAATACTACATTATAGGATTTGTGTGTCACTCCCAGGACTCAATGCAGGCGATTAGGGCTGAGAGCTACTTCAACCTGGAAGATTACTAATGACTGGTCTACTACCCCAGTCAGTCCAGAACATCTATTGTAATTATCATAAATATGCATGTGCATCAGTACAGATAATGAGAACACAATAATATATTGTTTTACCAATAATATGCTAATATCAAGGCACTGATAAAGCTACATTATGGAGAATACATAACTTGATACCCTCCCACACCTGCTCAGTGGTAAAGAGTTTGGGGAAGACACGTCCATGCAATGAAGCTTATGCTAAAAAAGGTTCTACATGTTCCTTATCAGATTAAAGTCTGATGAGTTACCAGGCTAGTCATTAAAGAATGATATATCACCATCATGTAGCTAATTTTTTATGTCTTGCAGCATAGCATGGGGCACCATCTTGCAAACAAAATTTGCCTTGGCACTTCTCAAACTGTCAGGCAAATTGTCTGCTAAAAGAATATGGAATTAGGAATTAGGCTGACGAAGGTCGCATCCTGGGACAGAACTAACCTAATTTGCCCGAAATGCACAGCGTAACAAGGGGCTTTCTACATAGTGGTATGTCATTGATGTCAGCTAGGCCTGTACCATGTACATGTACTTGTACATTATTATTTTATTTTATTTTGAGAAGTAAGGTTTGCAATTTTAGTCTTACTTTATAAACTCAGAATTTTATAGTAATATACTTCAGTTATCATTTAATTTACCTTGCATTTTATTTGTTCTTTCGCTATCTTAACTGAACTACAGTACAGCAATTCAAGATAATATGCATAGCTGGGATACTTGGCAAGTAAATAAAAACAAAGAAAGTCAGAATACAATTGCCATTCCAAATGTATTGTTGCAATTATAATACTGTATTCAGAATACTTATTATTATTCCTGAATTTTAAATTAATACCATAGTCTGAGTGCTTAGAAATACCTATTAGTGCTTTTGGGATGAATATGAAAAAATCTTTTGGACAACTACAAGTATTATATTATGTACATGATAATCATTCAAGGCCTGATTTACCATTCATAAACTACATACCGTATTTTCCTGCATATAAGGCGCACGATCATGAGATATATAAGACTGTTTCCAAGCTACCATTTATTTTTTAAACTAACCATACTCACTAGGATAATAGTTTAGAACACTCTGAGATATGCTTGGCCAAAGACTACATGTTATGTTCTGACCTTTATTTTCTGGCACAATATACTGTACTGTATTACTGCTATGGGTAACACGCAACATGCTTAGAGTTTTTGTTTAAGGGTGATTTAGCCACCCAGTGGCAGTTTCTCACCAGTATATTTTCTTCGTAAGTACAAGAGCTCAGCATAGAGGTTCATTTGAACCCCATCTACTATTTCATATTGGGGATTTAGCATGTTCTCCTCATAGCTGACCAAGTGGAACCCCAAGGCAGCCAGACCTTGTAGAACCTTCATGTAGGAGGCAATGATGGCTTGCCGACTCTCTGGCTCTTTCACATTTCGCAGCATGTCTAAGTGGATCTAACAACACCCAGCACAAGCCACACATGAAAAGCCAAAAATGGCAAATTAGTGAAGTGGCTCAAGTAAAAGAAGATAACACCATTAATAAGAAAACTAGTACAGTAAACCCTCTTATAATGTGACTTCATATTATATGAAATTATTGCAACATGATTCAAGAAGTGCAATAAAGAACTTAATAGAAAGCAAAAATTTTGATATCACGTATGTACTAAAAAGCTTCCAAGAATCTGTTAACTTGTGAAATATTGGAAATATTTGCCATTTCATTAAGTTATACAAAAAATTGGGTACTACATGCCATAGTATACAACTGCAACCCTCTACTGACAACCTACATCACTTTCAATCACACCCTGGAAGTGTCATTTGCCTAACTTTTTGTTTATGCAGCTATTATGAATATTTTTATCATTATCTAGTCTCTTGGATAGTAACAATGGAGGTGCTAAGAAGAATAAGCGTGAATCTATGAATTTTCTGAAGAAAATCGAAGTGTTAGATAGGCTTAGAAGTTGTGCATATGTGATGAAAACTGCTTATGAGTTTTGTGTGAATGAATCAACCATTCATACATTTAGAAACAATTAGAATAAACAAGAGATCATGCATTAAGAGGTGTCTACCTAAATAAGAATTACTAAATTTGTGGATTGAGGGGACAAAAAAACTAACATCAAAGACCTGGGAGTGATCATGTCGGAGGATCTCGCCTTCAAGGGCCATAACATTGTATCAATCGCATCTGCTAGAAAAATGACAGGATGGATAATGAGAACCTTCAAAACTAGGGATGCCAAGCCCATGATGACACTCTTCAGGTTGCTTGTTCTATCTAGGCTGGAATATTGCTGCACACTAACAGCATCTTTCAAGGCAGGTGAAATTGCTGACCTAGAAAATATACAGAGACCCTTCACAGCACGCATAACTGAGATAAAACACCTCAATTACTGGGAGTGCTTGAAGTTCCTGAACCTGTACTCCCTGGAACACAGGCAGGAGAGATACATGATTATATACACCTGGAAAATCCTAGAGGGACTAGTACCAAACTTGCACACGAAAATCAGTCTCTACGAAAGCAAAAGACTAGGCAGACGATGCAACATCCTCCCCAATAAAAAGCAGGGGTGTCACTAGCATGTTAAGAGACAACACAATAAATGTCTGGGGCCCAAGACTGTTCAACTGACTCTCAGCATACATAAGGGGGATTACCACTAGACCCCTGGCTGTCTTCAAGCAGGCAATGGGCAAGCACCTAAAGTCGGTACCTGACCAGCCGGGCTGTGGCTCGTACATTGGATTGCGTGCAGCCAGCAGTAACAGCCTGGTTGATCAGGCTCTGATCCACCAGGAGGCCTGGTCACAGACCGGGCCACGGGGGCGTTGACCCCCGGAACACTCTCCAGGTAAACACTCGCCTCATATACTGAGTGTCCGTGGTTCAATCCCCGGCCGGGCAGAAATGTTGGGTACGTTTCATTACACCTGCTGCCCCTGTTCACCTAGCAGTAAGTAGGTACCTGGGTGTTAGTCGACTGGTGTAGGTTGCATCTTGGGGGACAAGGTTGAAGGACCTCAATGGAAATTAGACGGACAGTCCCCAATGACGCACTGACTCTGGTTATCCTGAGTGGCTACCCTTCTGTGTTAAAAAATCCGAACAAATCCTATGGCAGTACTTGTCCTGATAATGCCAATGCCATATATAAATGATTTGCCTTGATACCAGTGAGAGGCTCTTGATCCAGGGAATCAGAGCTTCTCTCAACTTCCTTGACTTGTGATCCAAGGAATTGCACTTATTTTCCCCTTCCTTGAATCAAACCCGAATTCCTCACGTTCCCTAGATGCTGTATGACCCATATATATTTGGCACTTTCCCAATAAAAATTAATAAAGTAACTCCACTTGCTTGGGTAAAGGTTTTGAGTGCTGGTGGCTAGAGCATCCAGTAGGCTTGTGCGAGCATGTTAGGTCAGAGTGAGTGGAATAACCTAGTTTCTTTGGCTTCTGCTGATGGAGTGTGACCAGGGTAATACATGTACTGATGAAAGGATTCAAGGAAACGGGTAAGCAGGATTCATCACGTCCAGGATGCTAAGTACAATGCCTGCATACTGAAGTGGAGGTTAGGATGTTACAATACACAAATAATCTGCACAAAGGAGGATGAAACTTATGACAATGTTTTGGTCTAACTTGGACAATAGTCATTTGAAATATGATGAATGTGTTTCCTTCTGAATCATCCTACCTAGGTGGGAGATAACTAGTGTATTTAATAATAATAAAAATAATACTGTAGTATATAAATGATCTGTCAGAAGGAATAAAATACAGTACTATGTGAATATGACTGTGGATGGTGCAAAAATCCTATGGAGAATAGCTAATAATAATGACTGCAAATCCCTAGAAAAAAAGATGAAATGGAGCAGTGACAGAGGTAATGAAGGAATTTTAATGCTGATTAGTAAAACACAATAGAAGTATGAGAATATTATAGGCTGTGAAAATTTTAAAAGCATTAGATACGAATCTAGGTGCAATTATTGACAGAAGATAGTCCCAGTACATACATGATCATAGAAATCACATTTTACCCTGGCAAACTTAAAAGTAGCCTTCAGATACATGAATGCAGATATGTTAAAAAAAATTAACAAAGCTAAGCCAAAACTGGTAATGACAAACAGAAAGGGCAGATTCTGTGATACAAATGCAGTACTGTAATAAAATAAGAGATACAATTAAGTTCGAGTAAATTTCAAGAAAAACTATACTATACCACAGTGCTATACAGTACTGTTACTGGATATATATACAGTGTACTTGCTCAGTGTACAGTGCTGTACCTGATAGGTTAGATTATAAAGGGACTCACCTCAAAGGAGAGCTGTGTGACAGAAGCGAGAACAGAGGTGTTGAGGAGCACCTGCTGCAGCACTCCCCACTCCTCACCTTCAATATCCAGCTTCATGTAGTCCACCGGACGTCCTTCATGACCCAGGCTCCTGTAGCGGTGTGTGAGGGTAGTTGTGGCAGTGATTATTGTGGCGGTGTGTGAGGGTAGTTGTGGCAGTGATTATTGTGGCGGTGCGTAAGGGTAGTTGTGGCAGTGATTATTGTGGCGGTGTGTGAGGGTAGTTTTGGCAGTGATTATTGTGGAGGTGTGCGAGGGTAGTTTTGGCAGTGATTAGTGTGGCGGTGTGAGGGTACTTTTGGCAGTGAAAAGTATGGTGTGAGGGTAGTTTTAGCAGCGCATATTGTGGCGGTGAGGGTAGTTGTGGCAGTGTGACGGTAGTTGTGGCAGTGAGGATAGTTGTGGCAGTGATTAGTATGGAGGTGGGTGAATGTTGTTAGTAAATTTATTCAGGTATACACAAATAGTTGCATAGATTATCATACATAGCTGCATATGTGTAAAGAACCTAGGATAACCCAAAAAGTGACTTATTTCCACTGGGATAAGTGGCAGTGATTAGTGTGGAGGTGTTTGAGGGGTAGTTATGGTTGTGCTAGTGATTGGTGTGGCAATACTAACGGTCTGTGGAAGTAGCAATGGCAGTGAAAGTGTATCAACGTGTGTAAGACAATGTGGACAGGCGTGACAAAGACAAGTACAAAGACATTGTCAGCTTCAAACGTCAGAATGAACATAAAAAATGAACCATCCTGTATACTGAACAGTTATTTTAAAATTCATTATACACGTTTTTTCAGACATGATTTGACACTAAGTACAGTACATATGTTTTTTTTTTTTTTTGTAGTTGATCCCTTAAATAGGTTCTTTGATATCAAACCAGTGAGGGGCTCTTGATCTTAAGAACTGGACCTGTGCTCCCCTTTCTGAGATCAAACTTCCCTACTGGTTTAGCGCTCCCCAACAAATACAATTGTAACAATAATAATTTGTATTTGAAACCAAATAGTTTTACAATAAGTACAGCTGATAAAGGCAAGGAAAAAAAAGGTACCCAATATACTGAAGGAAGCTACCACTCACTTTGCTATCCACTCTAGCTACGCCATTGTACCCCCCTATATAATAATAATAATAATAATAATAATAATAATAATAATAATAATAATAGTTTATTTCAGCATGACAATGTTTGTACAAGGGTGAATGACAGGGTATACATGTAGAAAGCCCCTGTATATGAAGAGCATTTCTGGCAAACTTAAGATTAATAAGCATTAAGCGTTTATAATGAATACAAGAGAATTGAATATCGTTTTAGTTCATCCTATATGGCTTTAACAAGTTTAATTGAGAGGAATTTCAGGTTTAATTATTAACATAAAGAGGACAATCATTTTTTTAATAATTAAGGATTACAGATATAAGTAAATCTATAGTCTACATGTGCTCGTGACACTGAGAAAATGCATGTGTAGTTTTCACATATTTAGAATAATAATAATTTAGCTGATGTTGGGATATGTTAGGGAGATAAAGTATTTTTTAACGGTAGTCTTGAAAATGCTGGCCGAGTCAGTGGGTCTGGAGATTTCCAGCAGAGAGTACCAGATTTTGGGTCCTTTCACGTACATTGAATTTTGAAGATTTAGCTCATTACCTTTGTAAATTGTGAGTTCATTACCTCTGTAACTTGCTCAGCTATCAAAACTTTGGAGTCCAGTCCCTGGACCAATTATGTACCTCTGTAATCTTTTGACTACCGCCCACAGGATGGGTATGGGGTGCATAATAAACATATTAAACTAAAACTTATGTCTTTACTGACGATGTTGTAGGATAACCTGAAGAAACTTTAGGATTGGTCCAATATGTGGTTGCTGGTGCTCAGCCTGAACAAGTACTGTACAGTCAAAAATAGTAACTAGGAAAAGGAAACGCGAGATAAACTACAAGATAAAATTTCGTTCGGATTTTTAACCCCGGAGGGTTAGCCACCCAAGATAACCCAAGAAAGTCAGTGCGTCATCGAGGACTGTCTAACTTATTTACATTGTGGTCCTTAATCTTGTCCCCCAGGATGCGACCCACACCAGTCGGCTAACACCCAGGTACCTATTTGCTGCTAGGTGAACAGAACAACAGGTGTAAGGAAACGCGTCGAAATGTTTCCACCCGCCGGGAATCGAACCCTCCGTGTGTGAAGCGGGAGCTTTAGCCACCGGGCCACCGGCCCAACGGGATAAAACTTAAGTCATTGGAAAAAATGACCTTGGGGATAATATCCAACCCAGTATCCATCCTGAGGAGCACAGACTAAAAGAATAAAAATTTTATTTCTTTGTAATGGTTACAGTGTGTAATTACAATTTTGGTTTGCTAAGTACAAAGAAAGCTACTCTCATGTCGGGGCATTTCGAACAGACATATGCAATGCTAGCAAACATAATTACATTATTATATTTCTGCGAGATCTAAAGTCGCAGAAGTCAAGCAGCGTTTGAGGAAATGGGAAGCTATGAAATTCGATCCAAGGAAGGGAAAGTTTGGTCCAGTTCTTTCGATCAAGAGCTCCTTATCGGCATTAAAGAATCTCTCCTTGGGGAGACAAAACCTGTCTTTAAAACAAAATCTCATTCAAGACACTATACACCATGTACCCCACGGCGCCGTATACCCTACAGGGGTTATATAATGCACATATGTCATGTCGGTCATGGTCGATTTACAACCAGCGTGGAGCCTACACCGAGTCAAGCAACCAGGATATTTCTTGATTATTTCTTGAGGTTCAAACTAAAAAAACTGAACCTTCACCATGACTTTAATTAAAGGATGTTTAAG